ACTATTCACCATATTTCATCTTGAAAACCAATTGAGAACCGAGTACAGTAAAATCGTATGTAACCCCAATCTAGATCCATGTATCATATGTAACATACATACCATCGTATGGAACCGTGTATGGTAATGTATATAACACACGCCAAGACACTAAATGGCCAAGAAACCCCGAATCTCCCTCCAATGAAAAGAACCACTGGTTCGTTCGTACAGTACGAGTACGAGTCCGCGTAGCGAGTTCCGTTGCGGGGCGATAGCGAAGGTTTTTCTTTATTCCGATTTTTTTTACATACAGTAAGTACTCCGTCTACTCAGTCGACTTACGGGGCATTATACTACGGATCAGCAGTCAAATTTTAAAGGTTGAAAGAAATGGAATGATTAACAATGCATTTAACAGACAAATAGTATTTTCTTTTAAATTGCCAATATCACCCCAATGCGCCATGCCTTGCCTGGTAACGAAAACCAATCCTTGCCACAATCCATTTAGTTCAGTTCAGCGGTGAGGGCTTCCAATCCCTTGCAGGTCAGTAATGTAGAGATCATCCCTCGATTCAGAAAGCCGGGGATTGTCCCACAATGCAAAGTATAGAGAGAGGAATGGAGCCCCCCTAAACACTGCCAGAGATAGAATGACAAGGACGATAAGGTGGGAGTTTCGAATGAACAAAAGAAACGCGAAATAAAACAATATGTACTAAAGTTTTGCCAAATTGGCTCTCCGTGCTCTCCGTCCAATGATATAGATAGGATGCCCGAGATATGGGTATTAGAGACGTTGATAGATAGCGATCTGCCCCGTATAAAAAGAGACAAAACACAAAAAAAAATACGGACGACCAGCGAACGCCCGCGCACACTAGCAGCCAGTTCACATAAAAAAAAAAAGAGTTAACGATCACGCAAGAGCATTACTCAAGCATTACCTCGAAAACCGCTTGAAAGCAACAGTAGCAGCAAAGCCAGCAGCAAGCAGCGAACCACCAATAGTAACAGCCTGCAGCGCAGCGTTCATCATCTGGTGACGGTTACGGGTACTGCAGCGCTTATAGAAATCGGCCATGTCGTTACCGCGGGGGAAAGGCGTATCGGGAATTTCCTCCTCGAGGAACTCGCAGAGAGGAGCCCAGCCATCGTTGATGTTGTATTCGAGCAGACGCTCGGGGGGAACCATGCTGCGCACTTCGGCGACGTGATCTTCGTATACTTGCTTGCCCTTTCCGGGGAAATCGCCGCGGAAGAAGGTCTCGAAGAACTTGTTTAGCATTGGGTAGTACATTCCTGCGGCCCAGCTGAAGTTTGAGACGAATTTGTGTTCTGGGTCTGAGACGCGCCAGTAGACGGTCTTCATGACGGATCTGGTGATTTTTAGTTTCTTGTTCGTTTTGGTTGTTTACTGGGGTGGACGTACGCGTGCCATGGGTCAACGTCGCGGGTGGTCAGGATGACCTTGGCATTAGGATATGCCTCAATTAGCTCCTTTGCAAAGGCGCAAGCGGGCCAGTCACAGACGGCCTGGCAGTCGCCCAGCAGCTGGTCCCATTCCTTGCGGCCGAACTCGCCTTCACCCTTGTACTTTGCGTTCAGGGCATCGTGCCACATGAGGCAGTCCGGTGGGTTCTCAACACTGGCGCACATCATGTGGTAGCACTTGCCATAGCCCAGACGTTCGAAAGCTTTGCGCAGAGCTGTATCTGAGTTAGTTTCTATACTTGTATAGAGACCAATTCCAGACTGTACTCACAGGCAGTTCCAGTCCGGCCAACACCCAGAGCCAGCACCTTCATAGGCACTGTACGGTGGCACTTCCGGCGATTAATGTTTGTGTCATCCGTAAAGATATCGGTCATAGGCTGAGGAGCCAAATTATCGGAGAGCGCGAGAGACATGGTGAATAGCTCAATTGCAATATAAAGGTATAGATAGAGAGGAGCAAGAAGAATAACGAAGGGACAGACTGGAAAAGTCTAGAAGGAAGGGGGTCTTTATGAAAGATAGATAAGGGGGAAAATCATGTAAAAGAAATAAAAGAAATTCATATTAAGCATGTCTGTCAAAAGTGGCGTCTCTTACACTTTCCTCCCCACGTACATGTAATGCACGTATTGTAACTTAAAGAGCGACGTCAAAGGCTGACGCACAGGGATGTCCAGGATTGTCAGGGGAATGTGGAGATGGTATCAGCGTGTAATGAAGAATACCGCCCTGCCAAGCCTTCGATCCACGTATACGAAGAAGTTCTGCCGTTGGCCGCCGGAACTGCCTTGACGATCCGTGCATGAGCCAATCCTCATTGGCGCAGGCTGAAGGGCAACGCGTACACAGTGGAACTGTGCCACTTTGATTGAATGTATCGGATCACATTCAACAGAACAGTCTATCTAAATACATGTATATGTGTATGTATGTGCATATACACATATACATATACCTATGTCAAAGCACACACCAGTATACATCTCTAAGATAGAAAACATCTGCCGAGCTCCACCATAACCAGATTGCTCAGGGGCTCGGGCTTGGAACTTCTTGGTACACTCGGCAAGTGGCGTCGACACATGGTCGAGACTCTGTAACAATTACCAGTCGGGCTCCACCTTGCCAAGCCGCATCCAATATACAACGGATCAACACTGGAAAAAGGTAAATGAGACCAATGCTCCGGTGCAGATGGGGCCCGCCTCTCCTGGATCGGCCGCGCACCACCTATCTCGGAAAAGACTTGCACGTATGCGTTGGATGTGTCGCCTCGAGGAGAAGAACAATGTTTCAAGGGTGTCGATTGGTGTTGGCGTTGGTGTATGAGATTGCGTCCCCTTCTTCGGTCTGCCCTGTATCCTTGTCTGTGTCTGTGCCCGGTCGGTCTGGTTATGGCTCTCAATGGTCGGCCTGTACCTATACAGTACGGTGAGCTGAGTGATCGTCCCGTGTGAGAGATTTTCCATTCGGGGATGTGTTTTCGTGGGCCCGGACGATCCATGCCAGGGTCGTTATTCTCGAACAGGGTCTGAAGGGTTGAAGGTTTGAGTGAGCTGATGTTCGTAGGCTGTGTTGTGAGACTGTGGCGGATGGTGCTGGTCCGAGTATGGTCAGTGACAGGGTCAGTCATGATACTGTACATGTATATGAATATGTATCAATTGATGTATTGGCCATGCTGTGTAGTATCCAAAATGATCATATTGACTACACTGTAGCAAGAGTAACGAGAAACAAAAGAATGGCCAAACCAGAGGAAGTTGGCCCTGAAGGGTCACTGGGGGCAGGGGCACAGCTTAAATGTTCAGTGCCAAGACCTCATACTAGCACACCACCATCGTCGCAATCGATGAAAACGATCACCTCACCCAGCCTTAACCGATTAGGAAGACCCTCAGACGACCCGAACTCCGCTGTGAGATTAACATTGCATCTAATATAAGCTTAAAAGCTGCTTGGTCCATCGCGCGTAGAATCCTGTCCCCGCCGTGCAACGGCAGTGTTTGTCGGCAGTTGAAGCTGCGTCTGAGTCGGGGGCCAACACAGTCTCCCGGGAAGAGAGAGAGAGAGAGAGAATACGAGTGGAAAGCTTGGCACGATTATAGATCGGTCCGTGATTTCGACATTGGGACCAAAGTGGTGGAATGACGGTTTGATATTTGATTTTGATATCCCCATATCCCCTGAACTGACCCTGAATATGAAAATAAAGAATATGAACAGTAAAAATGTTGTCCAGTGAAAGCCACAATACCCCTGAAACTCCATGCAAATGACCGTGCTGTCCGCAGCCTGTAGTGTTGATACCATTCGAGTCCGGTTCGAGTCTTGAGTCCGATGTTGATGTGATGTTAATGCCGGGCACTGTCCATTTCCACTACTCCAATTTATCAAGATGCTCCAGCCTCGTAAGCACGACCTGCTTGCTCGTTTCTTCGATCTCGCCTGCGAGAAAGACTTCATCCAGGATAGCGTAGACCTGTCATCGGATCAGCTCCAGCTCTATGCACTTCACAATCAGACCTCTCCTCACATCCTTACGTACCTTGTAGAAATTGAACACCAAATCCAGCTCGCAGACATTCCCAAAGAATTGATCTAGCACTTCGACAAAGAAATGGATAGCCTCGAGATAGGCAAGTTCGTTGTCATTGGCATCGACACAAACACAGAAGAATAAGCCCGCATACCGGCGGTAGACGACCTTTGTGCTACGCCGAAACTCGACGAAATTCGACTGATATTTCTGATCTCGGGGTGCGACAAGACGATGGACCTAACATGGGTGTTGATTAGCTAAAGCTCGAACTGCGATGCGATGCGGTGCGCGTGATGGCGATGGTGATGGGTGATAGGTAATAAATAGGTGATGGGCGGAACGGACCTCGCCTTTCAGCTTGACTTTCTCTTCATCCTGCAGCGAATGTCAGCCCAATTCTTCACCTCTTTCTCTTTATGGTTGAATTGGATTCTATCACCACTCACACTGTATGGGGCGTACCACTTCGCCAGGCGCGTTTTCCCCCTATATCATCATCAGCAATTCAATCCTGAAAATGACACCCGTGGGACAGCTACTCACTGGCGATTCTGAACCAGGATAAATGAGAGGACCATTGTCGTATAAAGCCAGGATGTTACCTGGTCTGCATTCGTGAAACCACTCGGGGGAGTGTTGCAACAAGCTTTGGTGGTTTCTCCGCTGCTCCCGTTATCGAAGCTCCCCTCAACCCCATATTGCCATTGTTCACCGCCCGCAGATTCGATCGTATACTCGACTATAAGAGTTGCAGAGTCGATTCTTTGATTTATGTAGGAAGACAGAGTTGTCACTTGGACTGAGTGGTTCAAATATATCAAATAAAATGTGGCTAATACAGTATTTTCATAAGACAAGAGTATCAGACATAAAGCGTAGAATTCGTTAAGCTCCAATCCCGAGGCACAGCCTCAGGTTGACATGATGATGAATGAGATATGCTGTTGCAATATTTTCCCAAGCCCCAGAAGCGGATCAATTACCCAGAGCTCATCCGGTTGAAGAATCTCGTCAATCGAGCCTATGGACAAAGTTAGCACCGACAAACACACATTGCAGACATATCCATAGATAGCATAAGCAATCCAAAGCCAGAACCTCAACATACCGTAACACTCTGCGGACTTGAAGGCTCAGTAGAACTCTCCCCATGCCCATTTCCATTCCCATGCCCATCTGCTTCTTCTTCTTCTTCATCCTCCTCCCCCTCCTCATCATAATCCCCATCCTCACTCTCAGACTCAGGAAACCACCGTTCAGGATCCCCGTTATAAACCAAATACCATCCAATCTTCTCACCAGGCGCAAGCCGATCCCTCAACGTCTCCAACGCAGTAGTCTGATCCTCCGTAAGACCAGAACCCTGCTCAACAACATCCTCAATATTCTGCCCGCCAGTCGAAGTAGCCCCATCCCCGCCGTCTGGGATTGTCAACACGCGCGCACCGACATACGCATAATCCTGACTGACCGTGCCGCTCGTCTCATCGGCTGGATCGTACTGCTCGATGAATTGCAGCTCCGGCAGGCGGGGTAGGAGGTCCGGGTTTGTTTTGTTGAAGGAGTCCACGATCAACGATGTTGTTAGGGGTTGTTGGATGTATTCTGCGGCTGCTTCTTCTAGGTTGTGGAGGACGATGTAGACTCTTATTCCGGTGAAGCCTGCGCGTGGCCAGCGGAAGCCGTGGAGCATGTATACTGGCATGCTGGGTTTGCTCTCTCTCTCTCTCTCTCTCTCTCTCTCTCTCTCTCTCTCTCTCTCTCTCTCTCTCTGGGTCTCTCTCTGGGTCTTTTTTGGGTGTTTTTTGGAGGTTGGGGGGTTTGCGCGTGGCAGGGAGCCTAGGATGAGTCGCGACTTGGGGAGTTGAGGTGTCGGCTCATATTGTGGAGGGCGGTGATCAATCGGTTTTGCTGGGGTTTCCCGTTCCCGTTTCAACGGTTCCCCGTTTGGCGTGACAGTTGCAGGGGAGTATTTGGTTTCTTTTATTTGAGATAATGATTTATTATTAGAGTCTATGCAGGCTATTGATTTTATCACGTGGGTACTGGTGCATATAGTCTGCAAGTTCCTCATTTGGGGTAGATCTTGCTTTGGGGTAATCGGAAAAGTATTGATCCCATCTATATCTACGGGCCGATCTATAAGTATAGCAGATTGCATGATTCGAGGGTCAATTGCTTTGCTGACCAGGTGCTCGGTCAACTGTTTGATACCAGGCCAGATTACAAGTTAGCGACAGATAAATTTGAACCGTCAATTCGTGAATGTGATCTATCATACGAGCAGAACCAAATTCAATCCAGATCACAAATTTCCCCTGAGGAGAACATGACAAAAAACGCAGCAGCCAGGCAATGCTTGTCTCAAGCCCACTATTCATGGGTTATTTGACAGACCCAACTCAAGGCCGGCGCTTCAAATCAGCGAATCTCCGAGTCAATTCGTCGAGCTCTGGTATCCCATTGTTACTCTTGCCCTTGGAGGCAGCCCCATTGCCTTCTTTCGAGGCGCCTTCATCTTTCCCTTCTGTACCGGGCACCTTGACGCGAGGATTAGGATTGTCCGTCCTAGGAGCCGGCGGCGCAACACTAACAGGACTCCGGCCCGCTGCAAGTCCACGCGGGGGTGTAGCTTTGGTCAATTCACTAGCATCAGAAGCCCGTCTCGTTTCAAGATTCGGCCTCGGACCATCCTGCTTGCTGGGAGTTTGCGGTGATTTAGCTTCTTCTTCTTCTCCTTCTTCTTCTTCTTCTTCGTCGCCGCCATCACTCTGAATATCGTCCACGAACTCCGGCACGTCCCCAAGCTCATCACCACCCCATTCAACCCCATATGCTTTCGCAATCTCCCTCAGATAGAGCTCAACAAGCTCCTGACCAGGCGGACGGACTCGCAATCCCTTAAGCAGACGATCAGGCACCTTAACGGTATCAACCTTATCATCCTGCGCCAGGGTCATAAACTCCTTTCCATAACGCTCACCCAACATAGTACGAAGCATAGTAAGCTCACGTAGCTCATGCGGGAACCGATGCCAAGCATAGAAGACCACAACAGCAGCCTCATCAAGCGCAGTATCCATGTAAGGAATCTCTTCAGCGGTGGCAGAAGCATCACCAGAGTCCTCTGCAGCCCCAGCCGTCATCGGCGTACCCGACCGTTCGGCCTCCTTCCTTTGAGCACCGCCGCCCAACCACCCAAATCCAAAACGCGACCCAGAGCTCTCACTTTTGGCAGCCGCCGGCGCGGTACCGGCCTGAGCCTGGGTGCGCATCTTGAGCAGTTCCTTGGCGCGGATGCGGGCGCGGTTGCCTTGCTCGCCGAAGGCTAGTTGGTCCAGAACATTTGCGCGCGCTAGGAGGAGCTCGCAGTACAGCTCGACCATTTCCATTACCTCCACTGCAACGTCTGTTGCGATGACATTTTCGACGCGGATGCGCGCGGAGGCTTCGCGGCCTTCGCTGAGGAGTTGGGAGAGTTCGCGACGCTGCACGACTGATGAGGCCGTGTCTTTCTTTTGAAGGAGGCGGAGGCGGGGGATCAGGAGGCGGAGAGTTGATACCAGTCTTGTCTGTTCCATGTTAATTGTGGTTCTGTTGTGTTCGGGGTGCAAGGTGAGGACATGATATGGTGATGCGGTGATGCGGGGTAGTCTTGAAGCTTTAGGCAGCGAGGTTTGGGGATGTCATTAAGATAAGGGAGGGCAGATGCAACTCATAGTGAGACAGGGATCAGAAGAGCTTACCGTTTGCGCTGAGGGAGGCATGGTGTGGTGTGTTGGAGAGGAGAGTCAAGCGGGGAGAGTAGTCTCCAAGGTTGGGGTTACCCACTTTCTTTTATACCACAGCCAAGTCCAAGTATATCTGACTGATTTCAGTTCCCTGCCCTCTGTTGGTTCTTTTTTAGTTTCAATTATTCTTGAATGTTGCGTGTACATCTGCACGTGACTACAACTAACTCAAGCTACCTTGACCTTTGCAGCCCAAATACTCATCGAGGCATATATCATCGTATTCCAAAACTACAAGTTCCTAGTATTGATCCCAATGATTGACGAAACAATGTTGGCCTCCATCGTTACAACCTGGAATATATATTGCCCCACCAGCCGGCTCAGTCAGCAACCCGTTATCTCCAACCACAACTCTTATACTCTTCAACCTCCCCATGTCACATCCAGATGGAGACATGCGACCCATGCTGGACATGTCGCAACCGGCGCATCCAATGCGACCAGTCCGGTACGCCATGCGCCAAGTGCGAGAAAGCCGGACTAGAATGCTTCGATAAACGACCATTCAGATGGGTCAAAGGCGTGGCAATCCGCGGCAAGATGCAAGGCCGTTCATACGAAGGCAAGACAGGAGACTCGTCTTCTGCTTTGAAACCCGTACGGTTACCAGCTAAAAAACCTCGCGCGCTGGTCAGTGGCGAAAATGTACCTATTGCACTACAAGACCCATCTACATCGCACTTAGATCAAGTTTCGAAGTATTACATAGATTACTGTGAGCTTACCTACAAATCAGCAATACTTACAGACAAGCTAATAATATATCAGATAACGAACGAATATGCAAGCTGTTCATCGTCTACGACAGCGACAAAAACCCACTCCGAAGTCTGATCCCCTTAGGAATGAAAGAGCCCATTTTACAAAAGGCTATACTCGCTCTTGCAGCGCGGCACCACGTCAACTCAGGCCAGCCGTTTCATCAATTTCAAGCACCGACATCTCCTGGTCTCATCAATGCCAACCGGGACGCACTGCTTTTCAAGCATCAAGCCATGGAAGCTCTATCCCGGGCTTTGGGCAATGCAAATTCAAATTCATCCAAGAAGGATACTACTGTGGCTAGTATCTTTCTCCTTATATTTTTGGATCTTTTGGAGTCTGGGAGTGATGGCTGGAATTTCCACCTTGAGGGCGCCAAGAGTTTGATTTCTTCTCAGCGGTTGGTGGGAGATGCTGGGGTGGATAGTGGGCCCGGTCAAACGATTCAGGAGATTCGGGGATTTATTGCTAAGCAGATAAACCTGTGAGTTATGACTTATCCATGATACTCACATCTGGTTACAGTGTGGCTGACGGACGTAGTATCGAGACTCTGGGGGCAACTTTCCTACGACCGAAATTACTGTCCGAGTTCATTTCCGCCGACCAAGAAGACGCCCAGCCCCAAGAATCTATTGAGAAATCATTCCTTGGATGTCCGGAATACTTGTTGACGGCGATACAATTTCTCTCAAATGAACGAGACACCATGGCTGGATCAAAGCTCGACCACGCTGCCATCCAGACACATATCCAAGATACAACAGCCATGCTATCACTTATACAGAACTTTGACTGTTACGCTTGGGCCTCGAGCCTTCAAAACTCCAGCCAATCATCTCCAAACAAAATAAGCAATCTCTGTACCCTGTCGCAAGCATACAAGATTGGAGCTTTAATATATGGCAGACGAGTCCTGGATGCCCTTACAAAAGAGGTCACCCCACAAGATGGCTTGGTATCGGAGTTACTAGGTCTGATTGATGCGTTGAAAGAAGACGAGGCACTCTTCAAGTGTATCCTGTGGGCCATTTTTGTGGCGGGTCTGGAATGCCGCACTCAGGCACAGAGGGATTTCCTTGTTGGCTGCTTGGAGAAGTTTTGGGTAGCAACTAGTTGTTTAAATGTGGTCAATGCCGCGAATATTCTGCGAGATTACTGGCAGCAGGAGGATAAACTGGAGGTTTCTTCACGGTGGATCTTTGATATTGGTCGTTTGGGTCGGGACTGGCTTCTAATATAACCTTGGAAATATGGCAATAGCATAATCATGCCAAAAGCGACTTGAACGCTTGTAACAAATCCTCTCTCAAGTCCTCCCAGTTCTCCAACCCAACACTGACCCTCAATAACTTCCGATCAACCTTTGAATCCGACAAAGCCCGCCACTCAATCAAAGACTCAACCCCACCCAGACTAGTAGCATGCTGAAAGAAGCAAAGCTTAGTCGGCAAAACCTTTGCAAACTCCTCCTTGTGCAAAACAATCGAAAACACAGGCCCAAACCCATTAGGCATCTGCCTCTTCAACCACTCCCCATCCTGCAAACTAGCATGATAAATAGTTTTGACAACAGACTGAACAACTGCCTCCTCACTACCCTCAGCTGGAGACCCTGCCAGCATAGCACCATGCAACCAAGAAAGCAACTTCGCAGAATTAGCACTAGCACGCTGCACACGCACCTCCAACGTCCTCAAACTCCTCGTCCCAAGCCAACTCTCCATACCCCCCATAACAGACCCCAACGCAATCCGATCCTCAAACAACCTCGTCGACCAATCCCTCCTTTTGACAGCAAGAACCCCACAAAGCAAATCACTATGACCGCCGAAATACTTCGAGCCCGAATGCATAACAACATCCGCACCCCAAAGGAACGGATCCTGCAAACCAGGCGGAGCAAATGTACTATCAACAACGAGGAAGGCACCACGCTCATGCGCTTTCTTGGCGTACGCTTCAATACTGAACGCCGTGCCGAGCGGGTTCACCGGCGTTTCGAGAAGGATGACGTCGCCAGCGGAGAGATCCTCAGCGGAGCAGTCTAATGGTAGTTTTTGAAGTCCTGATAGACGGGATATCACGGAGATGACTTCATGGCTGCCGTGGTAGCCATCGCCCACTGAGATTCTGCGTGGGTTTAGGAGTGTAAGGGCTGCGTGCAGGGCTGCTAGACCTGTTGAGTAGCTTATTGCTTGGCCTCCTATTAGTGATGAGAGGATTGCTTCAAAGCGGGTTGAGTTTGGGGCGAATTCGCGCGAGTAGACGTAGTTCTTGCCGTTGAATTCGTCCTGGGTATTATTAGTTTGGGTTCATGGTTGGATGTGATTTCCGACACATACTACTGGATCCTTGGAGGGAATGAATTGATCCGGGTCAGTGGGATATCTGAAGATTGTTGATAAATGGATTGGGGGTGCGACGTCTGTCACTAGATTCAGCGCATCGTCTGCGTGTAGTGCTCTGGTTGAAGGATGGCTGTTATGCGTTGGTGCCATTTTGTCTGTAGTGTGTTCAGGTGTTGAGAGGGGTAAAAAGTTATGCTTGACATTTCGCTTTTACATTCTTCTCGATGCTCTCTCCACTCCCATCAAGTTCCTTAAAGGGCGTCCAATTAGACTGAGGTCGAGGTACACTTTGATGCTGAATCGTGGCACGCCGGGGCCCCACTCCCGTTAACTTCCGAAAACGGAAGGGCTAAGTGTATAGACTACATGCAATCCTCTTTTTCTATTCTGCCATTTTTTTACAAAAAGATTATGTTGTTTCAACAGAAAAAAGTAGTAGGGGTCGCAAATCTGTATACAGTACCGTTGATAAAGTATGTGACGGTCTCTATACGAACGCCTCGAAGCGAGTATGCTGCTTTGTGTACCTATTTTCGCCTCGCCTTTTTTGCCCATTTTCAGGTGCGTTTTATTTGATCTTCTTATTAGTGCTATACTTGCTATGCTGGCTATAGTTAAGTGGGAGTGTGGCTTGACTTGTGACCTGTGACTGTACTACCAGCTATGCAAAGCAGAGATTCAATTGTCGTTGCGGCGGTAGATAGCTTTGAGAGTCTCCCAGAAAACTTCAAATATAGTGGACATGCAGATGAATTGGATATTCCCTGGCAAGTTGAAGTAGTGCAAGGAAGTGGGAGAAGACACCAAGCCTAGACTAGCAAACCTTGTGGGTGGGGGAGAGTGACGTGGTCTCAGAAGTTAAGAGGGAGAAGTCCAGTAGTCTGAAGGAACATGCGTAGATATTAGATCAAGATGGATAGATTAGATGTTACGTTTTTGAGTTGTTCGCCAACCCGGGATTGCCTGTTTAGGTCGACGTCGCAATTTGGTGATGTTTTTCAATGATTGAGAGGGTGTAAATTTGGCTGCTGACATAAAAACGCGTCTCAGTGATTTGAAGACGTGTCAAAGAGATTGATAAGGATTTAGGGTATTTGTCTTGTTTGTTCCTTCCTAATTCAGGCAGAACTGCCTGCTCTGCCTGGCCTGGCATGACACGATTGCCTCAGAGATCAGGCCTTCTTGCTTGCGGCCCCTTCTCCATAGAGCTATTCTGCTTTCTACTCTTCTATGAAGAATTATCGTCCTCTCTCCCTCTCTCTTCCTCTTTTCCCTATAAGAGTCCTCCGTCCACCCATGAATATTTGCACCACGCCCCATCTTTGGGAGGGGAACACTTAATCGACGAGCCAGCTTTTGAAATGACCCAGTACCGCGTGTCTATTCAATCACTTCATATTGTTTATTACGGCGTGTTGGATGGGAATTGCTTCGTGATTCATCGTATGCCACAGCCTACAGGACTCAGATCTTCAAGAACATTCCCAGATATAAGATAATATCCACATGATGGCCCATTCAAACAGGAGTTCTTCATATTGTGACTTGAGTTGTAGGTCTATAAGTCTAACAATTTCAGCTCGGGAATACCGGCAACTTGTACCGTGTGGGTTGAGCCACCCCGCTCCGGCGTCCTTTTACCGATGGTGAATCTAATGCACTTTGTGCACTAGCAGTGCAGACAAGTATTAGGTAGCGAAGAATGCAACCATGGATATAGCGCCGAGGCATTCATACTAGTGACAGAAGGTCTCTGGCGAAGGTAGTGGGCCCTCGCTGCACAACGGAGACGAGTGCCAGCAAACCAAGACCACGCAAGCACCGAGTCAGATGAGACAAAGCCAGGGCCAGGCGAATGAGCTGACAAACACGGATCAATCCTAGATCTAGTGCCTGCAACAAGGGTCTAAGACCCAGAGCAAAAATCATACATCCAATGAGGACCAAAAGAACCCGAGCAGACCAATAAAAAGGCAGCACAAAGAACCCACCAGATCTGGTATTGGGGGCCGAAGAGTGGTCAAAGAAAAGAAATTGAGCCTTAGCAGTCACATCAGTATATTTAGAACATTTGGGTCAACCCTAAGCAGCCGATCCACCTGTCAATTCCGCATTCTCATTGGTCTGCTCGGTTTCTGACATCATCGGCGTGAGATTTTGGTGCCGCCATGCCTATTTGGGAATAAAGTCAACTGTATGGTTCATTTTAGTACTTGCGTTGCGTTTCACTATCTGCGCTTGTTATATGGGAAGAATCAGCGGGCTTCTTCTTTGAATTGTATATTTAGAGGTCTGAGTTCGCTCTTTCCTGGTTTGTTGTACACCATCACTGTCTTTACAAACCAATCGCATTGATCTATACCCAAGATAAGAAGAGACTTTGACACTAAATCCTCATTTGACTTGTGTATGTCTCTATCGACGCACTTCTTCTATTTTATTCTCTGGGCAATCACTAACAAAACCCTGCCTCCCATAGATCTGTCTCTATCTCAAATCACAAAATGCCTTCAATCCCACCCACAATGGCAACCCAACCCACAATGGAAACCACAAAGGCAACCACGCTGGACGTGGCTACAAGCTTTCTGAAACGAAGCTCTCTCAGCGACCCCTCTAAATACCCCCTCTGGGTCTTCCTTATTATCGTCGGCTGCGTCGTGGGTGGTCTCATCGGGTACGGCGTGTGGATCATGTACCACGGACTAGACGATACCAATACATTCAAGGATGTATCCTACGAGCAAAGGAAATACATGCGTGAGGCTCGGCAGCGGAATTTGAATGCCTTGGCTGTTGAGGCTAGGAGGCCGGATATGATTATTCCGGTCGATCAGCTGAATTGGTAAATTGGGATCTGGGGATGGAAGAACGGAGCAATACCTTGAATGGTATGTTGCATTGGTTAGGGCGTTATGTTATGGCTTTATGGGTTGTATACAAGATGACTGGTTGGTTGACCAGCTCTATCAAATAACGTTATACATGTATGTTACTATAATCCGCGGTCATGGTGGATGATTTTATTTAATAAACTATCCCAAGGACAATATGTGATTGATTATTCAATTAACAGGCAGCCCAATGCTGGCCTAAGTAGAAGAGAGGGTAATCAGTGAAAGAGCGATTAACAATATACAAGGATTCGGAATCCAAGTCCTAGTAGTAAATATATCACAAGGTTTCACGGAACAAAAAGAACCTGTTTTTTCCCCTTATATTCAACAAACAAGATCCACCAACTTGGCCTGGACAGGCCGTCAAATATGAAAACAAAACCCCAATGCATACCAGAAGCAGAAAAAGGGATATCCAAGAGGAAAGAAAAGAATAACAGTGCTGGAGAGCCGAGAGCCAAGGGATATATAAGTCATGAAGCGGAAAGTAAAAAAGGCCAACGTTGAGCGTCGTCAAGAAAGGGCATCCAGGGGATGTGAAGAACCGTAAAAGGGGGGGGATTATGTAGAAGAGAAATTAAAAAATGTGATGAGAAATGAACAAAATGCCGGTGTGGTGATCAGGTTGATCATCGCAGCGGGCAAATAGTGCTGAATGGATGCCCTGAGGTGTTTTCTGTACACACCTTCGTACACGTATTTGCGATAATGTACAGTGAATACAGCTAAATCGGTATCAACTGATTTAGAAGTTCACAGCCATGGCAGCAACAGCGCCAAAGGCCAGGGTGAGAATAGAGACGGCAGCGCTGGCGGCACCGTTGGTACCAGTGGACGAGGATGCGGCAGCAGCAGCGGTGGTCGAGGAGGCCATGGCGATCTCAGCAGATCCAGTGAGAACGTGGGGTTGATAGGTGTAGCTCAGGGAGCCGCTCGACTTTGGCAGGCTAGTGCTGAAGGCGGCGCTAGACATGGGGACCATTGTGGAACTAGCACTGACAGTCGAGGTGGAGCTAGGAGTGGGGGTGGAAGTAGGAGTTTCGGTTGATGAGGGAGTAGGAGTAGGGGTAGAGGTGGGAGTAGGAGTGCTGGTAGGAGTCTCCGTCGAAGTGCTGGTGCTGGTGGGGGTGGGAGTAGGAGTAGAAGTGCTGGTGCTAGTGGGAGTAGCGGTGCTGGTGGAAACCTGGATGGTCTCAGACTCGGTGCTAGCGCTGCTGCCGCTACCCTCCTTCTCGAAGACGACAATGTGGGCAGTCTCTCCCTTCGGGACGGTGACAACACAGCCGGTAGCCCCGCCAGCGCCGGTGAAGGGAGTACCAATCATCTCGTTGACGGAGTTGACAGCGGGGTCAATTTTGCAAGGCAGGCCGTTGCAACCATCACCCTCGCACTCAATCTCGATACCGAAGTCGGGCTTGACATGGCGGAAAGGAGTAGTGGGCTCCAGATAGATCGGGTTCCAACCAATCTTCAGGTAAGTGTTGCCTGTGGCATCGGTGTTGGCACCAGCGGTGTACGGGGACCAGTTGCCGACGGGGTTCTCGGAAGTACCCCAAATACATCCCTCCTCGGCAGAGACACCGGGGGCATTGATGTAGTAGTGGGCAGCAGTAGAGCACCAGTAGGACATGCCAGGCACGGCCAGATCTTCGAGCTCATCAACCAGGGTCGGGATAAGCATGGCCTCGTTTCCGGGCAGCACGGTCTGACAGAAAGACACGGCCTTGCCAGCCTTGTTGTGAGCCTTTACGGGTCCCTTAGCATCCTCACAGTAATCACGCTCAGGGAAGGGCTTCTGGATCTCTCCGTTCTCGTCACAGTATAGACCACCATTCTGTATCCGGTTAGCTATGAATTCATTACCAAGGCAACAATTGATACTTACCATTGACATAGGGTAAGAGTAAGAGGTAGCCTTAGGATCCCACTGCATAGAAACCTGACCGGGAGGGCAGGCATAGGGGCAGTAGTTACCAGGCTTGCAGGGCTGGTCAGGGCTCATGGCCCAACCGGCGTTCTGCTCATTCGGGCTGACAGCAACCAGGCCGGCATCGGTGGGGAACTGGCACTTTCCGCTCTTCTTTTCCAAGGTAACATCACGGTTGTGGTGATGGCTGTGACCATGGCCATGTTTGGCGGCTTCGGCGGCGCTCGCAAAGAGAGCGACGAGCGCGGCGGCGCGGGAAGAAGTGATCTCGAACTTCATTTTGTCAGGGGAAAGACTGGATTTGAATCGGTCAAATAAAAGAGTGAATAAAGCGAATGGCTAAGTCAAACGAGTGACAGAAATATACGGCCGACGGGCCAAGGGACAACAATGCTCGCAGAGATGATGGTCAAGGAGAAGGAAAGTGTATGGGGGAGGAACACCAAGAAAAGGGACACGGCCTCTGCAAGCCTGGAAAAGGACCCCGGCCGGCTACTCAGACGACCAAGGCCATGAGTGATGGTGCTAGCCTCAAAGAGTGATAGATTTGGAGTGATATGCACGCAGTTCCGGTACAGTCAGAAAGCTAACTTCCTGACTTTGGGCGGAACAGACCCTGAGTGGCTCTGGCGTCGCGAACTTGCGGGCTAAACCCATAATTGCCCATAATTGCTTACCCCAAACAGGAATCATGCGCGGTGCCTTGGACCCCCAAAGTGCTGTGCCCCTGAGCAAACACCACTAGTGAGCAGCCACATGGGGCCACTAGGTGTTTAGCGTCAGGGGCAGCGCCTGGTTTCAGCCAGTAATGTGGCAGAATACCCCGATGGTTCCTACTTGGCAAGTGGAGAGAAGCCAATAAGCTTGGTGGAAATAGGACCCCATGGAGTGTTATCTCGCGAACTCTTTCAACGGTGCGGTCTGGAGAAGGAGAGTTGGAAAGGAGAGAATTGATGGGAGTTTCGTGACAGATGTCGCAAAATCACATGACATCATAGCCCTGACAACTTGGTCGCAATTGCGAACACTAAATCGAACTGCAGTGGTTTATCGCGACAAACAAAAGAAATTACTGTGCGAATTACGGATAACAGTCATAACCACGGGCAACTCCCGGCATAGCAAACAAAACGAGTCTCCACCCAATTGAATCAAGCAACGTTATTATGGGGAAATCAATAGCTTTAAATTTGTGCACGACGCGGCTAAGACGATAAACTGTCAATCGCAATAAAATTCACCAGGTCGGTCTGGTCTGGACCTGCTGATCATGATAGAATCCTAACCCCGTCATTGAACCCAGCCAATGACACCGCACATAGGGAGATCTCGGGATGTTTCTTCCTTTGACAGGCGCGGGATCACATGGCCAAGAGATTCGCCCGTTGGAAGGTGATCTTCTAATCGCCGACATGTTGCTGTGGAGGTTACTGCTTGCTTCAACAAGGCCTGATTTAGAGATGGTAGCATAGAGTCGGGGGTGTTTTTTTTCTAGTACTGATGATAAGGACACACTACACTCGATTTCCAATCCTTTGTTAGCCGAAGTTCTTGTGAGTAATCAAATACTTTCGATTTAACACATGAGGGTTTGGTGATCCGGCGTCTTTCAAGGATTGACCAAGCAAGGAAATATCTATATGCAGGGGTCGGCGTTAGTTGGACTATAGCTTAACTTTATATTTTATTGCCATTGGTTGGACAGTGAGATCGGTACTTTCTACGACGCTTGGTGCCACTTGTAACTCTCTTGTGTTTCAACCGAAGGTGTCGATGTTAACAGCTTATGAATCGCGGCACTTAGGACGACCTGTCACAGTCGATGTATGTCAAGATGAGCGAAAAGATGAAGTTAGCAAATTTTTTAAGCAGAAACTGCTTTTTGCATGACTTTGGGGCGTTGCTTGGGCTGAGGGGGTCGCTCTATATACTATTTCAGTTCCGTGAAGAAAGTAGTCTCCCAACCACTTTCACGACGCGGGTTCCATCCCATTCTACAGGCAAGCACAGCTCTACGCCGAGCGCAACAATTGAGTGTCAGCGATATACCGCAACAGAGGGGTTTCAAAAACGTGGACATGACTTACTTTGCTCCGAACGATTGCTCCACGCTAGCTTCATTCTACCACCCCATGCATCCGCAGTGTCCTTAACTGAGACAGATCTAACTTCACTGTTTGGGAGAATTCCAAGCTCAATGCCAGCTGCAAGAAGCTTCTGGGACATTTCTAAATGCGTGTGCTGGCCTGATTGACAAAAGTGGACTCCCTTATGTCCTGAGGGGATACTGACCTTATTCACAGTACTGGAAACGAGGAAAATGAAGCAGTTTGTTAGATCTTTATTGTGCACATGGGCCTAGATGGCTTGTCCGCTGTCTAGCGACATCTTATAAATCCCTAGGCAATATCCGTTTTGGTTGCGCGAAATGGACGGAACGAAGTATGTATAGGAAGAAAATATCATTTGCTTTTCGGCTCCGATTGCCACACTTTCTTCAGCAGCTGGATGTTTGTCAAATCCTTTTGTGGTTCCACTGGAAATATTCCTGGCCTTTCGCGATGATTGACTCCTTTCCCAGTCAGTGGGGTCACACTAACCAAAGAAAGAAAAAACCAAATTGAAGAATTCGTGGGCTATCAATCTATCCAGATTTCATGACTGTCTGCGCACGTTCACTAACAAATAATATATCAGCATAGCTAAGCCCCCGGGCTAAGCAGGCAACTGAATACAAAAAAAAAATGGGGGCGAAAAACAAAACAAAGTTGCGAACATCGTTTGAAGTGAGATAATCTACGCTGCCTGAGAAATGATATCAGCCTAACCAACGCCAGCACTGAGTCCTCAAAATACTCCAAAAAGATCATCACCAAAACATTTCAGCTTGTTTCAACCAATCGCCCCCACCTGTTTCTGACACTCAGCCCGACGCGGCCCCATTCCTATCTTTTTTTTTAACAACTTCCCCATTATAGATCTACAGTTTGACTCTGAGAGAAGCATGGACTCTACAGAATCATCTCCGTAAACGTACTCAATCTCACCAAGTGGAGGCTCGGCCATGCCTCCCGTGTCCAAAACGTGTCAGAGCTGCGCAGACTCCAAGGTGCGATGTGTCCGCAATCCGAATGCAGCTGGTGCATGTAACCGGTATGAAGAAGAACTGCCTTCAATTAAGATAAGCATTAAGACTTATGTTTGATACTAGATGTCTCCGATTGGGTCGAGAATGTCTCTATCGCCAAGCCGGTCGTCGATTCAATGGCTTCCAGAAGGATCGGTGAGCAGCTTTCATGTAATGATCTGTGATAGCATCACATTCACGTATTTACATCAGTTTAGAAAGATCGAGGCTCTCGAGTCAAAGATAACCGAATTGATGGCCGATCGCTCTGCTCTATCAGAAGAAAATGAACTCAACTCGAACGCACCCGGCGCAAAAGTAATAGACGACAGAATCCCAGTTGAAGACATTATCAGACGAGGCTTCCTGACAATAGAGAAAGCTGAGAGCTACCTGGACACATTCAAGACCAGAATGACTCCAAATTTCCCGTTCGTCGTCGTGGCCCCTTCGATATCTATCACACGACTCCACCAAGAAAAGCCATTCCTAAGCCTGGCAATCCTTGCGTCAGCCGCATACGATAACATGCCACTGCAACGGGTGGTGGAGGAAGAGATCAAAAAGTGCATTGCATCGCGCATGCTAATAAACGGCGAAGTCTCTTTTGACTTGCTGCAAGGGTTACTAGTCTTCCTCGCATGGTAAGTCTCCACTTGACCTATCAGGGGTTTGGGTTTTGTGGGGGAGATGCGTCTGACATTATGTGACAGGTCGCATTATTACTCGCGGCCACACCGTTATACGCAGTTTCTCCAATTGGCTATTGGCCTCGTTGTCGATCTTCGGTTGGACCGTCCGCCACGGACGAGGGTGTGGAAGACAGGGCTGCGCTTTGGGCAGAGGTATAATTTAAATGAGCAATTGCTAGATCGTCCTTACTGGGGGAGTGATGATCAGAGGGCTCTTTTGGGTTGTTATTACCTATCATCATCGTAAGTTTGGCTTATGCGCTTCGTGTAGCCTGGCTAATGATCTTTCCTGTAGGATTGCAGTGCTTGTGCAGAAACACTCGACGTTTGCTCATCTTCCATATTTGGAAGAGTGTTGCAGGTCTCTCTCCCATGTCAAAGAGTATCAGCATGACAAATACATCAGTCATATCATCCGGCTGCAATTCATTGCAGAAAATATTGATTCTTTCTCTGCAAAACATAGGATTGAGTTAGAACACCCTGGCTCGGGATCGGAACTCTATATCGCCAATCTAAAATCGGAACTAGAGGGGTTCTGTCATCAACTTCCTTTCGATCTCAATGAAAGCCGTGCGTTGAGGAAATTCTGTATACAAGGAGCAAGCACGATACTAACCTCAGTATAGCTCTTCTCGCTACACAATATCATGCAACCGGGCTAAGCCTATACCAAGTGTCTCTAACGATCGCAAACCGACACTCTCAATCAAACCTTGTGGCATCCCACTGCTGGCAAGATGAGATCAGCCTTGCAGCAAAAGTCTCAGCCAATGCAATTCTCGCTCAATACATCCTTCTCCCTCTTGGCCAGGAACTTGGATTTAACAATACGCAGTGGGTACAGATGGCATTTGCTTTGCTATTCTCATACCGACACGCCGTGATTAATTCCAACCCAGAGCAAAAGGCTGCACTTCTTCATACTCTATCACAAGTGAGGTCTAGGGTAGGGGCTCTATCTACTGCACATGTAGACGTGAACGGTGCTCGGGATGTTTTCTTTGATTTCAGGAGACGTGTGCTTCGCATTGAGAGTTGGCTTGGCATTGATGGCAAGGACGAAGCAAGCAGCGCAGGCGATGAGGGTCTTGACATTTTTGAGGATTTCAGTAGCACGTCAAATCCTAAGGCATCGCATTTTGAGAGTTCTATGGAAGACATGGGAGATCTTGGTGTTCCTCCTAGGGATTTTTTCTCCCCTTTTGTGGATGATTGGCAGGGGTTTCCCGGTGACTTCTTTTCATCTTCTTTTGGGGGTGTGGGTGACTGGGAGTGAATCAAATATTCCGTTTATCTCTAATTGCTTAGTCAATTGTGTTTGCAGTCTAGTTTCGGGCCTTTCAGAGAACATAAGCAAAAACATAAGAAAAATATTTACTCATGGTGGCAGTGCTGGAATGAATCCGACGCACCCACTTGCATCCAATATGCCCACTGTTATCGCCGAGCCGACGTATACACCGCGCCAAGACCATCTATATCCCCGACCCGATGTGGAATATAAAAGCGATATATGGTCGAGAGAATAATTGATTGCCTAGATTACAATCAGCTGAAAATGACCAAAATGATTCCTTCAATCCTCTTGTTAACTTTCTACTTGTTCATCTCCCCAATGCTCTGCTTCACGCCCTGTCCACTCCTCGGTCCAGCATTCCCCCCATTAACCCTAAACACATCCGACAAAACAATCTCAGCAGCCTTGAAAATTCTCACCCAAGAGTTTGACACCTTAGTCAACACCACAGCAGGCACACATGGAGATATCTCGCCAAACACAACCTTCAGCATCACTCTATTCTCATCTGACAATGGGAACGCCGAAAACGAGGCTTTCTTCTGGCAATATCACCACACAGCACCTGCATTGCAACAGTTCTCATATGGATCCCATAGTGCAGACCAAGATAGTATATATCGGATAGGTGGTCTTACAGAAGTATTCACTGTCTGGGGCCTTCTTATTACAGAAGCTGGAGGACAGATCTTGAATGATCCTATCACGAAATATCTCCCAGAATTACTTGATGGAACAGGTGATCAAGATGTCATTGAGCATGTTGAATGGGAGGATGTTACTGTTGGTCAGCTTACTAGTCATATGTCTGGTATTGCTCGCGACTGTAAGCAACCTGGATTGGGCTACCATCCTGGTAATATCTTATTGACAGTCGGCAGATTGCTCGAAGGATGTGAGTATACAGACAAGCCCTCAGACTTTGGGGTTGGCTGTGCATCAGGCTGTTCGCAAGCCTTGCTGTGATGATATCACCAGTTGTGGCAGCAGCGGTAAGAACTCCAAGTCTTTCCTCCATCATCTGCATATGAACTTATATGATAGATTTCATCCGACACATAGCCGCTGAAACGCCCGTCGCCCAGGCAGGAGCAACACCCAGCTATTCGAACATGGCCTTTCAACTTCTGGGCTACATAATAGAGAGACGCACAGGAAAACCATTCACCGATAGCCTCCAGCAAAGTATCCTAACACCACTAAACATGACTAAGACTACCATTTTCGCACCGACCAATTCATCAAAAGGGATTATACCCGTGAACAAGGAAGCCAGTGGCTGGTCAGCCCACGAAACCAGCAACGAAGCGTAAGTCAAGTCCAACACCCCATTCCAGGTCAATACAATACTAACACAAACCCCCAAAGATCAATATCCCTCTTCACAACCCCAAAAGACCTCTCAAAAGCCGGAAGAGCAATCCTATCTTCCACCCTTCTTCCCCAGTCCCAAACAAACAACTGGCTAAAACCAGTCTCACACACCTCAAACCCAGTCAACTCCCTCGGCGCCCCGTGGGTAATCTACAGCGCGGGAAACTATCCTAACACCTCAATGGTGGATACATACACGGTCCTCAGCAATGAAGGACGAAACGAAAGCCTGTACAGTTCTTATCTGGGTCTCGTGCCCAGTTTCGGCGTTGGGTTTACGATTTTATCAGCTGATACTGAGAAGCCTGCTGATCTCAATGCTCATGCGGATCTCATTGGGGATGTTATTCTGGAGGCTTTGATGGGTATCGCTGCTGAACAGGCTTTGGAGCACTTTGGTGGTGGTTATGGGCATTCTAGTGCAAGGCTCAATTCTTCGATTGTGCTTGGGGTGGATGAATTGCCTGGGTTGTTCATCCGGGAGTTTATCAGTAATGGTACTGATTTCAGGGCTACTTTGGCTGGTATTCTGAGTTTCCCTTCGCCCGTTGATTTGAGTATCAGGTTGTATCCTGTGCAGCTGGTTGAGAGGTCTGGGTCTGGGTCCGGGTCGAGAATGGCGTTTAGGGCTGTCTTTCAGGATATGACTGAGTTGGCAGATGCTGGAACTCCAACTTGTGTGTCTTGGTTGGATTTGGATAAGTTGCAGTATGGGGGCAGGAGGTTGGATGAGTTTGTGTTTGAATTGGATTCCAGGGGGAGGGCTACTGGTGTTGAAATTCCTGCTTTGCAAGTCAAACTTGAAAGGAATTAGTCTGAGTTTGTTCATTTGTATTGTTGGAGTGTGTATCAAAGTCTTTCATCATAAATGTGAGCCATATCATCATCAAATATGCACAATCCAATCGAGACTACTCGCCTTGCTGAGCCTCTAAATCCTTCCACTCAGCGAAAGCCGCAATATCATCACGATCTCTCCAGCCCCAGGCAATACAGTAATGCCTTGCGAGAAGCTGCCACTCCTCTATCTCATCCAGCATCTCCAAGCCCGCAACCCTCTCCTTCTCCTCTTCGCTGATCCACTGTTTCCAGATGAACTCAATATCAGCCGCCGCCTGGCCGTTCCCAAAGCCCTGCTCTCGGAACCGGCCCCGCTGCGCCTCGAGCGACGCATAGCGATGCAACGTCTGAAGCTGGATACCGCGCGCCGCGAGATTTGAGACCATAACTTGACCAAATGAATCATTCGGGCGAATAGGCTCATAGAGAACTAACCCCAGCGGAGATTGTGCCTGTGTATCTGCCGCATCAAAGAGACGTTTCGTAAAGAACGAAACTACCTCCTCTGCCTCAAGGGGTGACAGGTAGATAAGGCAGCATTCCGAAATCAAAAGAGTCGGCAAACTCGTATCCACACCCGGCAATATGGCGCCAGCATCACTGCTCCTAGCTAGTGATCGCAGATCAACAGGATGGAGATGGTAAACAGGCGAATGAAGCGCATCTGCTGCCTCCGACACCGTGACCGAATTGTTACTATTCTTCTCCGAGCCAATTCCCAACGCGCGCTGAATTATCGGCGCCGAGCGGATCGTGCGAATCTTCGCGGTGGTGTTAACCGCGAAATCAATCTCATGGTAGACAAAGTCGGGAGCTTGTCGCGACGAGAGAAGACGGAAGACGCGCGTATCCGAGCCTGCACCTAGCGAGATAATCTGTTTCTTGTGTGACTGCCCTTCTGGCTTGCATGGACCGAGAAAGCGAGCTACGAGCTGGTCGATGGCTGTCGTGCGAACGTAGGTTCCTATTGCGCGATATGCGAGTCAGTTGTTCATTCTGCGATTTTAACTGGAGCTAAGGGTAGGCTGTCTCACCTCTGTTGATAATTGGGAGCCGCCGTGTCGTGGACCCTAGGGGTGTCAATGCCGTTGCATATGCGTCGTCTAGGTATCCCAGTTCGACGGCGCTGAGGCGGGACACGCTTGCGTCATTGTCAGTTCCTTGCACGACGCGGTCTTTGCCTGGGGCGGTTGAGTCTGCGCGACCTGTGCCTCGACCGCGACCTCGGCCTCGCCGTAGTGAGTTTAGGTTTGGAATGTGGGATGCGGCCATGAGAGTGGAGGAAGCTTGGAGCTTGGACTTGCGTGGTGGGGTTTGGTATGGGACTATGACTGCCCAATACGTTAAGTCTTACTGTCATTGGTATAGGTGGTGTTAGTATTCTTGTCATTATTAAATGTGAGCTTCGTATCAAATCATACAAGATTCAATGATTTAAGTCAATTGTTCAAGTACATAAAACACTGTAGCTATGCATGGAATGTACATGTACGCTAGACTGTGCGCTACACATCATTATAGTTAGTAAAATAGAGCTGCTTTCAACAACCATCCGGCGGTCGTCTAGTTGGTTTATGGCGTCAGACTGTAATTGACCATTGTAATCTGAATGTCGCCGGTTCGACTCCGGCCCACCGGAATTTTTTTCTTCTCTTTTGTTGCACTTCCTATGTCCCACGTTTATCGGGCATGGTAGCTACTGGATAGCATGTAATTTTTTGTTTTTTAATTTCTGTTCTTTAATTTATTCCCAGTAGTCCTTTCTTCTGGGTATGACCGTGTTTCGCTATATCCGTGGAGTGTGTGGGATATATATATATGGGAGGCTAGAGTCGGATTATACAGGCTTACCCGCCATATGTGTTTAACACCACCGGGCTTCAGACCGGCTACAATGGGAATATATAGCCACCTACTTGTCTTATGACATGGCGACTCCCATCTAGATACCCCAAAGGAAACCAACACGCCGAGTATCTGATAGTACCATCTAATCTATACGCTCAATCAAAGCTGCCTGACAATTCGACAGTAATGCATTCTCTAACAATCTATCGCTAGCACTTTTTATACATAAACAAAGTTGTTTCGGCACAGTGGACAAGTACTCTGGTTACTGCTCTTGAACCAGCGGAACAAACAAACCGAGTGGAAAGTGTTCTTGCAAGTGGCACATCGCTTGTTGGGCGTCTGCATATCCGTCGAGATAACAGAGTAACAGATCGCGCACTCGCTCTGGCCCTTAAGGGCTCCCTGGACGTTCCGTCGGAAGGCCAGCAGGCCATCGACCAGGTTGCCGTTAGCGAACATGATCACGCCTTGGATCGTGAGCAGCCAGCTCTTCCACTTCTTCTCGTCGACGAGTACGCGGCTGCGACCGACGACTAGGGCGGGTTGGAGGGGGTATGCGGGAGGGAGGGAGATGGAAATGGCGACTGGAGGGGATTCTTCGTCGACGGGGATGGATGCGATGATTTCTCCTGTCTTTGCTGAGATTTTCACATCCAGAGCTCGCTCTTCATTTGGATCTTGGGTTGCGATCCAGTCGGTAACACCCTTGAGGGCATCCTCGACCACGAGAGGGGAGATCTAGATATTGTTAGCTGTGATCGGGCGATGTGTATGATGGTCACCCAGCAAACATACGTATTTCTCCGTCCACGACTCCACTGGTCCCTTGATCCGCTTCTTGGTGTCGATCCACCAGTTCTTGGTCATGTTGGCCGAATATTTCAGGCACTGGTAGTAGAGATGGACCAAGAGCCATTGTGTTTCCTTCTCAGCGGACTCGGATTGATCTGGCTCGAATGACCGAATGTCAAGCTTGGACGCATCGATCATCTTTCCGTGGGACTTCTGAAGGAAATCGAATGTGAACTCCAGCAGGGGAATGAGAACATTGTTTTCCTTTAAGTTCCCTGTGTAATACTCCTGGACGGGAAGCGACTAAAACGGTGTTAGAAAAGTCCACAAACGATCGTAAAGATGCATTACATACTGCGTTCGAGAAGTGGTCATATACCACTTGCCAGGCCAATAGGTATGACCGCATTGTGGTCCACATCTTGTCGTCTCCATAACCAGAAGAAACCATTTGCATTGTTGGTGGCTCCATCAGCAGAGACACTAGCTCATCAGGAAGACTGACTGCAGTCTTTGATAAGGCGACATCAAAAGAGACATGCTCCTGGCAGTGAGGGATGTAGCGATGAAGAATCGTGTAAGCTGTCCGCTGAACTGCTCGGCTGTGTGCAGTCAGAAGGTGGAAGGTTTCACTAACATCCTCCAGTTTATCAATCGGAATGGTAGTAATCAGGCGTCGCAGTAGTTCAACGGCAACGTCACGAGGCTGGTGGAATGTAGTAGACGAGTCTATATCAGGTTAAAAATCATTGGTAACCCACGAAGCCTTATGATTCTTACCAAATTTGTCAATGGTAGACGCCACATCATTAAAGAGCTTGGTCTTTCGGTCTGACCAAGCGTCCTGAGCATCATCATTGCTGTCACCTTCTGAGATGGACTTCAACTTCGAGAATAGCCTGAACGACGAAACAAGCAGTGGTAAAGCCTCGTCACCTCCGTTAGTTTCCCGGAACACAGTGCTCAAAATATCCATGCTTTCCTCCCAGTGAGATCCATAAATTTCACCCAGAGCCGGAAGAACAAAGGACAATGTTTTAATAACTTCGGCCTTCAGACCAAGAGGCACAGGTTCAGATTGAAGACACTCGATTAAGTGCTTGGTCAGGAAAATAAGTCGCTGTGTGGGAATGGTGGAGACGACCTCCTCCTCCCCAGAAAGGAGGATATTGAGGAGTGCAAGCTTTTGCAGACCTATGGGCGGTTAGTTTAGGTCTGTGGTGTTTCACTCATGTTTACTTACCACCCAGAGAAGCATCCTGGTGCTTAAGTCCAGTAGAATCTGCGACCAACTCATTGCAAATCCGGTTCCCAATTGGGTTTGAAAGAATAGGACCCCTCAATACGGCAAACCAGGATGCTGAACGGATAGCATTTGCTGTCCGGGCTTCTCTGCAAATCTTTGCAATATCATCTGAAGATTTCGATGAATCAACTGCGGTCATAATCTTCACAAAGGCCTCGCCAACCCGGCAGTCCGTGGGTGATGTGCCCTTGAGCTTTTCCAACTTGGTCTCCCAGAACTTCGTGAATAAAGAGGAAACTGTTAGATCTGGCGCAGAGGCAAGTGGCTCGTTCGCCCGAATCCAGCCGCCAATCACCCTTCTTCCGCTGAAGACAATTTCCATGTATTCCTCGCGCTGATCAGCTAACTCGAGACCTGAGATACCATTGGAACTCTCGATGCTCAGGTCATCATCAATTAGTTGAACAGCCAAGGGGAGAAATTGGAACAAAGTCTCCAGATCTTCTTGCTCAAGATGCTTCGCTACCTCAGAGTTTGAGAGGATACTGATCGTGAAGGTTGCCAGACGGAACGCAGAAGAGCAATGATCCGAGTCACGGGGAATGGTAAGCCACAAGGCCTTGAAAGAGTCTGATAGCTCTCGCTCAACCAAATGGACGATACCACCAAGAGGGCTCGTGACAGTAGCAGAAGAGCGAGGTGGAAGCTGGAGAAAAGGACTCAATGCTTCCTCCCATGTGCGACGAGAGGGCAAGATATCCTTGATTGTGCCAGTGGCCCCTCCGGCTGTCAGAGTTGGCAGAAGCTCGTCTGCTATAGCGAGAAGCGATTCGATCCTGCGTCAAATTAGTACATTATGTGATAAAGATTGAAGAACGGAACACTCACGACAATGATTCTTCGTTTACATTAGTGAAACCATGTTGAAGAATCTCAATGCTTGACTTCGCACTCGTATCGCCAGCGGCAGCTGCCTTCAAGGACTTCAACAATGACTCCGCTACGCTTGATATTTCCTCCTCGGAGGATTCTGCAAGGAAGAGCAGTTTGCCCGCTAATTTTGAACCGCGAGGTCCAGCCTGGAATTCTCGAACCGATGACGGAGCAGTCTTCCCAATATGCGAAAGCCCATGCAAAGCATCAAAGATTCTATCACGCGAAGACATGGCGTCAACCAGAGACAAGAATATTTGGTCCATCAATTCACCATGAGATGACTTGTTCTGTAGAACAGCAGTGATGATAGGCCAATGGGCATGACTACCTCGGCAAGCCTTATCAAGAGCCCGCACGACGAGCGAGTTGAGCTTTTCCTTGTGATCAACTTCATTAAAGTCGAGAGAAGAGAGCAAGCTTTTAAGGACATGGACGTTTGATTGCTCGGGCTCCAAAGCCAGCGCCTGCTCAACAATGTTCTCGAAACTGGACGCATAGCCGTCCCAGTCCCGACATGCCAGAATGATCGCAATTAAGCGATCAGCAGATGGGGAGACCAAAAGCTCTGGTGCATCTTTTCGAACAAACTTGAGAAGATCTGAAGACTTCTTGGCAACAGAAGGCATACTGCGAACACACTCCTCCACAACAGCCGCAGCTCCATATGGTTTTCCATTGCGGGTGCGCAAAACCTGCAGACAACCCTCAAGAAGGGCTGCACTTGATTTTTCGAAAACCTCCGAGACTTGAGGTTCGACTTCGGTTTCTGCAATCCGGGAGAGAACGGCAGATTGCAAGGCCAATAGGCGTTTTGATTGGGCGCATATTGAGTCTTGCGAAGCGCGGAAATCCTTTGATTGTTCTGGTGATGATAGCCTCACAGCTTCTAATAGACCGTCGGAAAGGGCCGCACACAATGACTGCAATGCCTGTTCCTGTTTTGTAGAAGCCAGGGTGCAGAGATAGCCGACGCAGGTTCCTTCGGCTGATTGGGCAGGAAGAGACCACTGCGACAATTCTGGGTTGGCTTGCACGTAATTAATCACGAGGGGAGAAAGTCTCCTTTCAATAAATTCGGATCTTTGATCTTCGGGGATCAGAGTTGCAAGCCACGTTCCGATCTGGATGTAAGATTTCCATCCAACGGCCAGATTTTGGCGAGGCTCTTCTCTAGAGTTAAGGCCTTCCTGCAAAGCCTCTGTCAGGGCAGTCGCACTGGTGGATGTAATTCCTTCATCAGCAGTTGCCTTGTCGGCACCTGCCAGTACCTCCCGGGGAATGATTCGGAGCAATTGATCAAGATTCGACCAGTAGTTGCCATGCCCACCCTGGGATCCTTTCTGAATATACTGGCGCAGTCTTTTCGAAGCAGATGATTTTCCAGTATAATCATCAGTCCACACCTGAGGCCTTGACGATGTCAACAGAAGAAGAGACTCAGATAATTCGGAGCCCGATCCAATCTGCTGAAGGGACAACGATTTTCCAATGATTGTTGAGCTCAGGGTATTCCAGTCAAGCCATCCAGGTTCTCGAGAGACAGCAGATCGAAGCAGAATATAAATAGATCGACGAACATAGGGGTCATCGTGGTAACAGAGAGACCAAAGAGACCTGCTTCCTAATAGAGTCTCAATCTCTGTGAGGTTCTTTTGCAGATCTTCATTGGTCGAATTCCCCAGTACCCGGTTGAATAGCATAATTGCGGCCCCAACAACGCGGGCGTACTTGCCTTCAGCATCGTCTCTCTTGACTGTCCTTTCATCACTCAACGTCAGGGCTGTTTGGTGAAGAATGACATCATCTACAAAGTCCAAAATGGAGCCTTGGTAGATCTTCCACACATTGTTCCTTTTTTCTTCCGATGAGAAGACCTTGGTAAATGATTCAAGGGCGGCTCGCTGGACTGGTCGATCATTATCGTAAATTCCGGCAAGCCATGCTCCGATGACTTTTGGTAGATTGGGCACAATGCGCTTTCCCACAAGGCCAGAAATTGTACCTTGGATCGGGTGTGCGATTTGTCGAACTCGGCGCGAAAGATCAATCGAGAGACGAGGGTAGATTTTGACCTGAACCAAGAAGATTTATTAGTAACTGTATAAAGATGAAGCAGTCTCTACATACCCAGGCGTCCAGGAACCCGTCGTCTAGAGTTCCGCTGTTTCCTTCGACTTTAGAGATGTAATCCCTCAGCTCTTCTAAGGCTTTTGTTCGTGTGATATCATCTTTTTTCAGCAAATTTTTGAATGCGATGACCAGGTGTTGGTCCGCAATGCGAGAAAGATCTGGTGGTGCTGCAATGTAGGTGAGCACAGACGGCTCTTTTCCTTGACCGGAGAGTCCACTGGAGAAGCCTCCAAATGATCCAAAGGCACTAGCAGCAGCGCGACTGCTGGAGGCCTGAGATTTGAACTTTTTGCTCATGTGGGGTATGAGGTCAGCGGGATAAGGAAGTAGTGGGGGACGAGGTCGAAATCGAGGGATTGGAGGGACTGCAGCAAAAATGAGTGGCTGCAGTAATGACTGATAGGATCAACTAAGTGATCTGAACGCTGAAATCGTCTTTGATCGTGTGTGTGAAGCTGCAAGTCCACCCGATCTCCAACAATTCGCGGGACATGATAACAGTCACGTGAGCTGGTGTCATCGCTGTCCCAAACAGGAAAAGCGTCGGTGCACGAAAGATGAGAGCTCGCGCTCTTCTTTTTGTCTCTCGCTCTCCTGCGGTCTGCATCGGAGCCCGGCCAAGATGAAGTTTTTCATTGAGTATGCTTTCATCCTTTCTACTCTGCTTTTCAGCTGACTCTTCCTGTTTCCAATAGTGATCTTCCGGTGCTGTTTCCTTATCCTCGCATTTATCCCGAACAATATGCCTACATGTGCGATCTCAAGAAGACCCTCGATGCAGGGGGTCACTGTGTACTGGAAATGCCTTCAGGAACCGGCAAGACAGTTTCACTACTGTCGTTGATCGTCGCCTACCAACAGCATTATCCGGAGCACCGCAAGCTCATCTACTGCTCCCGAACGATGTCAGAGATCGAGAAAGCTCTGGCAGAGTTGAAGGCGCTGATGGAACACCGCGCAAAGGAACTGGGCCACGAAGAGGAGTTCCGTGCGCTTGGTCTGACCAGTCGAAAGAACCTTTGTCTTCACCCTTCCGTGAAGCGAGAGAAGAGCGGTACAGTGGTTGACGCTCGGTGCAGAAGCTTGACCGCGGGATTCGTGAAAGAGAAGAAAGAGCGTGGAGAAGATGTCGACCTTTGTGTATATCACGAGGTAGGTCTGCTGATCTCGAGAACACATTGGACGATCTAACTAGCCTAGAACCTCGACCTACTCGAACCGCATAACCTCGTACCCCCCGGCGTTTTCACTCTCGACGGACTATCAAGATATGGAGAAGAACACAAGCAGTGCCCTTACTTCTCTGCTCGTCGTATGGTAAGATATTGAAACGAAAGCACGCGTGACATTTAGATTTGACAAGCTTCACTAGATGCCGTGGTGTAACATCATCATCTATTCATACCACTATCTTCTGGACCCCAAAATTGCTGAACGAGTCTCCCGAGAGCTTTCGAAAGATTGCATTGTCGTTTTCGACGAGGCGCATAACATCGATAACGTCTGCATCGAATCACTCAGTATAGACTTGAGTGAAGACTCTCTACGAAAAGCTACCCGAGGCGCCACCAATCTGGAACGCAAGATCGAAGAAATGAAGAGCTCAGATGAGGAAAAACTCAAAAATGAATATTCAAAATTAGTGGAAGGACTGCGAGAAGCAGAGCAAGCCCGCGAGGAAGACCAGTTCATCTCGAACCCAGTCCTGCCTGATGACCTGTTGAAGGAAGCTGTTCCTGGGAACATCCGCCGAGCTGAGCATTTCGTCTCTTTCTTGAAGAGGTTTATCGAATACCTCAAGACTCGGATGAAAGTTACCCATACCATATCCGAAACACCCCCTTCATTTCTAACTCACCTGAAAGACCTTACCTATATTGAGCGAAAACCCCTGAGATTCTGCGCTGAGCGTTTAACATCACTTGTGCGAACACTGGAGCTGGTCAATATCGAAGATTACCAGCCTCTGCAAGAAGTAGCTACCTTTGCAACTCTTGTCGCAACGTACGACAAAGGATTTGTTCTCATCCTTGAACCATTTGAGTCCGAAGCAGCCACTGTACCGAACCCGATTCTACATTTCACCTGTCTGGATGCCGCTATTGCTATCAAACCGGTATTCGACCGCTTCAGCTCTGTGATCATTACCTCGGGTACTTTGTCACCCCTGGAAATGTACCCAAAGATGCTAGGCTTTACTGCTGTTATGCAGGAGTCTTACAGCATGACACTCGCGCGACGATCATTTTTGCCTATGATCGTCACCCGAGGCTCAGATCAAGCACAAGTATCCTCTTCCTTTGGAATCCGTAACGATCCTGGTGTTGTACGAAACTATGGAACTCTGGTCACGGAGTTTGCTCGCATTACACCTGACGGCGTTGTGGTCTTCTTCCCCTCTTATCTGTATATGGAATCCATCATTAGTATGTGGCAGGGAATGGGCATTCTCGATCAGATCTGGAACTACAAGTTGATTCTTGTCGAAACACCCGATGCACAAGAATCATCGCTTGCTTTGGAGACCTATAGAACAGCGTGTTGCAACGGACGTGGTGCGATATTGTTCTGTGTCGCTCGAGGCAAGGTTTCCGAAGGTATCGATTTCGACCATCACTATGGTCGTGCAGTACTGTGTATCGGTGTTCCATTCCAATACACCGAGTCTCGAATCCTGAAAGCTCGTCTTGAGTTCTTGCGTGAGAACTATCGCATCAGAGAGAACGACTTCTTGTCTTTCGACGCAATTCGACACGCCGCCCAGTGTCTGGGTCGTGTCCTGCGTGGTAAGGATGACTACGGAGTCATGGTGTTGGCAGACCGTCGGTTCGAAAGAAAACGCCCACAACTCCCTAAGTGGATCAACCAGGCAATGCTGGACAGCGAAACCAATCTCAGCACAGATATGGCTGTATCAAATGCTAAGAACTTCTTGCGGACTATGGCCCAGCCTTTCAAATCGAAGGATCAGGAAGGCATTTCTACTTGGGGCTTGGCTGATATCGAACGCCATGAGGCCAAGCGGAGAACAGAGGAGGAGCGGATGATGAGAGAGGAAATTAACAACGGACACATGGAGGGTCTCATTCCGTCTGCATCTCGGATCGTGGAGGACGAGTTCGATGATGACATTGACGAAGACCTCATGATGATGGATGCGCAATAAAATAATCGTGTTCTTTTTGCTGGGACCGGGCGTACATAGTGGTGCTTTGGGCATGAAATCTGGGGCGTTATCATTTGGCAAGGATGCCATTTAGCATGGATGGTGTTTGGAGACAGCACTGTCTGCCTCCTGTAATTGAACTAAAAATTTGGAAGTCATTCTAAAAGTTGAGTCATCTAATGAGTACTTGAATCTGCCTGTTGTGAGTACTGAGTAAGTAGTAAGTAGTACATTGTAAAGAGTGGCCTCGTACTCCCATGAGTTTTTTAGGTAGAGATCAGAAGGTTCATCTCATCACTAACGGATTTGTCAGGGCCACCATAATAATACCTGTTGATACCAGACTTGGATTTTTGCAGCGAATATTTTAGCGAGGACAGTGACAGATCTTCATAAAAGCAGTTCTAACATGGCCCCAGTACAGAGCACGAAGAGCTTATACTAATGAGAGTCAGCTGGGCGGTAAATGACTTCGAAAAGATCTATTTATTGGACTAAATAAGATGCTAATATAAACAGGGACAGACACTTTTTGGTTCCGCTGCAAGAAGACAAACTCCAGATCATCGACACATCAAAGATGAAGCGACAGAAACAAACATAAAAAAAAAATGAAACCAAAAAGCTTTGCAAAAACACAATATACACATGAGGAAAGACAAGATGACAATACACATTTCAAACTCCGTCCAGTCAGAGAGGCGACTATGCTACAGGAGCAAGAATATCGAAGGAACCAGTACCAACGGTACCGACACGACCAACAACAATTCTTGCACTAGGGCTCTTGAGGTTATCGACACCTCTCTCGAGCACAACATCCTTCAGGGCCCCGACAGTAGTCTCGAAACTTGCGCGCGCGAAGGCAGACGAGGCATCCTTGACTAGACCGTTACGGCTGAAGGCCTTGAAGCCACCAGACTGCGTCATCACATCACCAATCAGGTTCAAGTGACGATTGTCGACGGAGATACTGTGACCCTTGAAAACGGCGTCCATTTCGCGGACGATAGTGGCACGCGCAGCCTCAACACCGTACAGGTGAAGCATGTCGTGGATGGAGTTGGTGTACATCGAGTGGGGCTTGATGATGTCCTGGTAGTCGCGCATGGCGAGCAGGTTGACACCCTCCGTGAGGACGTTAGCAGGATCACCGCTGTTCACGTCGGCTTCAACGAAGACACAGTTGCCCATGCCGGGAATAGATTGAATGACGGCAAGGTGGAGAACCTTCTCGACCAGAGGAAGGAGCAGAAGCTTGGGGGTCTCAATGTCGTACTGCAATTGGATGGTGCAGCTGTTGCCCTTCTTAGGGTCGAACTTGAACTTGGTGATCTCCTCGAACTTGCCGACGATGTCGTCCTCGTGAGCCTTGTTCTCTTCGGTTTCAGATTCGGAGTCGGAATCGGAGTCGGAGTCAGATGAGGAACCATCCTTCATCTTAACGTCACGGGCCTTCGCAGGCTTGCTAGCCTCGACTTCGTCATCGTCCTCCTCGTCTGAGCTATCCTGGCGTCTCTGGATATCCCTCTCATCATCGTCAGGGGCTTCGTATGAGATCTGGTTACTCCTGTTCTGAGCACCGGAGGCCCGCTTGGCGTCATCCTCGTCATCTTCATCATCATCATCAGCTGGTTGGGCCTCGGCATCGCCTCCTCGTGGTGCCTCGGCGATTTTACCGACGGAGACACCAATCTCTGGCTGGGCAGTCGAGGACTTGGTACCCTTTTTCTCCTCGTTACGCTTCTTGAGCTCCATTTTGGTGAGTCGGACCAGGCGAGGAATGAACTTGGTCAGAAGAGCCATCTGGACATCCTTGGTCTGGATGGCGTATTCCTCGGTGTACTCCTCAGATGGGAAGAAAGTGATGTCAATGTCGTAAATTTTAGCCTTGGAGTGGCCAATGCCGGAGCCAATGTGCTCCTTGACTTGGACCTTGTCAACAATCTCAGCGATACTGAGCTTGCTGATGGCCTTGGCGAATCTCTCAGAATCCTCCTTGGAGATTTCCTCGTTCAAGAGCAGGGTCATCGTAGGCGTCATGATATTAGCACTGGCAGTCATAACAATTTCACGCAGACGGGGAATACCCAGCGTCACGTTCTTTGCGGAGTGACCAGCCAAATGGAAAGTGTTCAATGTCATCTGGGTAGATGGCTCTCCAACGGACTGACCGGCCATAATACCGACGGCTTCACCAGGGTCAATGATAGACTTCATGTACTTCATGTTCATCAAGGCTTCGAAGGTCTTCTTGGAGACCTTGCCATCGATGTTCTTCTTCTTGTCCTTGATGAGCTGGTTTTTGTTCGCATCAGTGTACTGTTTGAGTTAGTTAGCAATGCACAAGTTGATAGAGTGAGAGAAGTCCTTACCTTCTTGAGCTCTTGGGAGAATGCCTCGGAGGTACTGCCCAAGTTTCCTCCAGGGGGGAAGTGAGACAAGACGGGATCCATAGCATCAACCTTTCCGGTCTTGCGAACGGCCTTCATGGCATCTTTCTGCCAAGTAGTCACGTTTTCCTTAGCCAGGGAGTGGAAGTCATCGGCGGAGACCTGCTTGGAAATAGAGACGTGGTTCTGGGCGAGGAAGTCGAAGTCGTTGAGATGCACCTGCTTGGTGATATCGAGACCGTCCTCTCCATACAAGAACTGAACAATGGAGCCATCGGAGGTTTCACGAACAGAGGAATCGTACTCAGCCTTCAGGCCTTCCATACCCTTGATCAAGCAACGCTGCAGGTAACCGGATCTGGAGGTCTTGACGGCGGTATCAATCAGACCCTCACGACCAGCCATAGCGTGGAAGTAGTATTCCTGGGGCTTGATACCAGTCAAGAAACGACCAGAGACGTAACCACCAGCCATGGGGTGTGTTTCAAAAGCCTTGAAAGATGGAAGGGTCTTTCCACTGATCATGAGCGGTACGCGACGACCTTCCAAAACCTGTTGACCCAGGTTACAAGAAATAAGGTTGGCGTTGACACCAGATCCCTTAGCTCCAGAAATTGTCATAGACTGCATCTGGTTCCAGGGGAAAGGCTTAGCGAGACCTTCGGGCAAACAAGACTTGGTAATTTCGGAGGAAAGCTGAGCAGAGCGGGCGTTGGAAACGCTATCCAGACCACTCTGCTTATCGTCATCACGAAGAACCTCTTCCAATCGTCTGTTCAACTCGGCAGTCTGATCGCCAGGAGCCTGGTCGAGTGTGACATACTTGAGAGCAATCTCGCGACCCATGTCTGCGGCAGTGCTCAACTTTTCCTTGCGGATACGGTCACCTTCCTTGGTCAAGCGAAGATCATCAATACCACAAGTAAAGGCACGCATGTTCAAGACGCGAGTAAGCAATCTTCCAAGAACACCAATCAACTTTCCAGCAATGCTGTGTCCATAGACCTCATGGATAGCATCGATGAGACCGCCGGCAGTAGGACCAAGCTGCTTCTTATCAAGGATACCGCACAGGAACTCACCGTCCTGGAAGAGAACATCTCCTTCCTCGTTGTTTGTACCCCAGCGGTTACTGGGAGTCGAGGACTTACTTTTCAAGGTAAGACCTCCACGTCCAGGGGGCTGGATGTTCTTGAGGATTGTGGTGATGATCTGCTTTCCGGTCCAAAGGCACTTGGGCTTCCGGAAAGCAGGCTCAACCAATTGAATGCGGTCAGTGACAATGTGCGAGTGCTCTGGTCTCAAACAACTGTACAACAGCTGGTGGTAATCCTCCTCGTCGTAGAAGCTGTCACGGCAAGTGAGCCATGTTCCCATGGAAATATGATCTTGAATCAAACCTCTCAGCGGCTTGCCTGAGGTGGCAACAAGATATTGGTGATCGGCATCAGCCAACATCCTGGCTTCCGCTTGGGCAAGCTCGTTTTGAGGGAAATGCATGTTCATTTCGTCACCATCGAAATCGGCGTTGTAAGTGTTACAGTTGGCGTAGTGCATACGAATGACACGCTCGTTGGGAAGAACACGGGCCTTGTGACCCATGATAGAGGGCTTGTGCAGGGTGGGCTGGCGGTTCATCAAAACGTAATCACCGGTAGTAAGATGGCGGTAGACCTTCTTGTTGCGCGAGCCCTTCATCCGCCAGTTTGACGGGGCGAGCAGCTGATTTGCAAGTGCTGTACGCTCTTCTAGGTTCTTGAACTTGAGGTTGATCACCTGTCCGTTCTCATTCTCAATGGATGAAGCACCGGGGTATTTATCAGGTCCGTTGATGACAGCTTCCTTCAGTTCCCAGAAGTTGTGGTTTGTCACGGGCTCGGGGAAAGTCAACTTCTTGGCGAAGACAAGAGGAACACCAATTTCATTGGGTTCGATGTTGGGATCGGGCGAGATGACACTTCGAGCAGCAAAGTTGACACGCTTACCCATCATGTTCTTTCGGAACAGACCTTCCTTCTTTTCAAGAATCTGCTTGATACCGTTAGGTTGGGCCATGGCAGCTGCGCCAGTGGCTGCGGTACGATCACGGTCAATGAGACCGTTGACCTGATCTTGGAGCTGAACAATAGCCTGGAGCAGATCACTGTAGTTTCGTGCCCGAGACATAGTCTTCTCTTCCTCGTTCTGGATTTCCTTGCTGATCTGGTTGATAGTGTCACAGCCCTTAAGGATTGCGTTGAAGGAAGTGTTCTGCTGGGCTTCCATGACAGTTCCAGCACCCTGCTGAACAGCAGGGCGGTACTTGTTCGGCGGTACCATCAGGTTCTTAATGAAAAACATGTCTGCCGAAACGACCTTGACTCCCTTGGGCACAGGCCGAGAGTTGTAAACCAGCTGCAGGACATCGCTATCTTTTGTGAAAAGAAGACGAAGAGCTCCATAAACTTCAGAGGAAGACATGAATTCCTGGCCCGTGGTGCTCTCTGTCGCCTGCATAACGGCCGCCCCACGGAGAATTTCTTCCTCAGCTCCATGAGCCTCAGCGCCGTTTATCCGAGTACCATTTTGCTTGGCTTCGGTTTTCCTTTCCTGGTCGAGAAGGACCATAGTGTTTGGTGCCTGGAATCCTCCGGTGATCATTGCAAGCTTTGCCTTCTCGGGTAGTTGCTTTCGGAAGATCTTGTTATAACGATCCTTTCGATACGAGGGGGAAACGCTGCCATAAGGTTAGCTGGTGTACGGGTAAAAATCAAGATTTTTCGTATAACGTACCCGCTGCAGTTAGCACACTTGTTGAAGGAGTTGATATCCTTCAGGAAGGTCTTAATCAACTCTCTTCTGGCCTCCGCGGCGATAGGGTTCTGTCCACCGGCCATCAAGCCCTCCAGCTTGCCCTCAGTCTTGGCTTCCCGGATGCGCCGACTGACAAACTCAGTTCTCTTGCGCATGTAGTCGACATCATCGTCTTCTTCGTCGTCAGATTCCTCTTCCTTGCTCTTGGATGCCTTTTTGGAGCCCTTGGCGGATCCCATAGAATCAACAACAGCAACCTCGTCGACCAATCCGTACTGAAGAAGGCGCAATTTGCAGGTGTACATGTTGACCTGGTTGCGGCCCATCTGCAGCCGAAGACAGTACACACATTGTGCTCGGAGAAGGCGGTAAATGTGGTCGAAGAAGGTAACATTATAGAGCGGGACTGGAAGCTCAATATGCCCGGGGTGTCCGGTACAGGTAAAAGCGTTCTGGCGACATGTGGTACATCTGTAGATGAAGAAAAAATCTCTCGTTAGGGATTGTCGATTGAAAGCAAGACATGGCAAATACTTACACATGGTCTCCCCATGCGCCCATAGCAGGGTCCTGAAGGCCACCAGGGACAGGGTTGTTAAATGAATCCAAAGTCGGAGTATTGTGAATTCTTTTCACCGAGAGAGCTTTAATCTCTTGCTCGGAGTAGACATTGAAGTCGACCCCATTAATGGTCGAGGCGACCGGTCGCGCAAAATTTGCCATGGTAGCCTGCAGCTCCTGGAGCAACAGAAAACGCTGGCGCACGAAATCAAAGTGCTCGGATTTATCTCCAAGTGTAGTTCTGGATCGAACTTTTTTTCCGGAGGAGCAACTTTTTTTGCCCTGGTCCACCGCTTTACCCTTTTGAGGTTTCTGCGGACCACTGACGTTTATTGTTTGACACCGTCTTTTTTGTCTATCAGCACTTGTTCAGTCTCTTGTGTAGCTCAGTCACCAGTTCACAGTGGGTGAGATCTATCTAGACCATGGCGGACGCGTCAGGTAATGCGCTCAAGCGCCCTCATCCTCAGGATGAAGACAACAACGCCAAAAGGACCCGCTCCAACAATGGGTCTCCGGTACCTGGACAAGCAGCGCCTGTGAAGGGCAAGGCCGATATCGAAAAGATGGTGGCCGAGGCCAGGGCAAAGGCAGAAGCTGTGCGCGCTCGTCTACAGGCTGCGCGTGGTGGCGCGACACCAACGGCAGCTACACCCGATTCCTCCAGTCCTACTCCGCCAGCGCCATCACCAGCGCCCAGTGCTGCAATGTCGAGATTGGAACAAATGAAAGCCCGGGTTGCTGCAGCTACAGCGAAAGCCAGCACCCCTCCGCAACGACCTAGTGCACCCACTCCGTCTTATCAACCTCCGGTCCGCGACGATGATGGAATGTCCAAAGCTCGAGGTGGTCTGGATGTTGGTCTCCACCCAGCACTCCTCTCCGATGCTAAACCAGAATTCCGAAGTGGAAAGGGACGACAGGCCAAGGCAACTAAACATCGCGACGGCAAGGCCCAACTTGACCTCTCTGGTCCGTCTGTGGAGGAGATCAAGAATAATCCTTATTTTGACCCTACGCTTGCTCCCAAAGCAACAGTGGCCAAGCCGCGCCAGACTCGGCAACTCATATTTAACCAGAAGGGCAAATATATTCAGCAGGCGGCCGCTCTGCGCAGGCAGGCCCAGTTGGAGGCAATGAAGAAAAGCATCGCAGCGCGAGCACGACAAGCTGGTCTTGATGAGGAAATGGATGTGGAGAAGTCATATCTTGTTCCTGCTCCACCAGGTCTGGAATGGTGGGATGAAGGCTTGGTGAATGGCAGCGACTACTCCGCAATTGACGACCAACAAAACATCAAAGTCGATACCCCCGATTCAATCATTACTCGCTATGTTCAACATCCCATCCTTATTGAACCCCCACAAGAGAAGCACGTGCCTGCTCAAAAGCCCATGTTCCTTACCCCGAAAGAGCAAGCCAAGATTCGTCGACAGCGACGTATGGCAGACCTGAAGGAGCAGCAGGCCAAGATCAGACTGGGTCTTGAGGAAGCACCCGCTCCAAAGGTCAAGAAATCAAACCTTATGCGAGTTCTAGGCGAACAAGCCGTCAAGGATCCCACGGCCGTTGAAGCTCGCGTGACCAGAGAAATCGCAGATCGAAAAGAGCATCACGAGGTCGCAAACGAGGAGCGAAAGCTGACTAAAGAGCAACGACGCGAGAAACTTGCAGCCCAGCAGGAGAAAGATATCTCCTTGGGCGTATACCAAACTGTGTATCGAATTGACAGTCTCGCAAGCGGCAGAAACCGCTTCAAGATTGGCAAAAACGCCGAACAAAACAATCTCACCGGCATGTGTGTTATGCACCCGAAACTCAATCTAGTGATCGTTGAGGGCGGAAAGCACTCCGTCAAAAATTACCGAAAGTTGATGATGAACCGTATCGACTGGACCGAAAACCCAGGCTCCGACCGCATGCCCGCAGACAGTCCTGAAGCCCAAGTGTCATGGCTATCAACTGAGGATGATAAGGGACAGCCAAGGGATTTCAGCGATAACACATGCACTCTCCTCTGGGAAGGACAGACTAAGAACCGGTCATTCAAGAGATGGTTTGGTGCACGAGTCTGCGAAACAGACTCTGCAGCCAAAGACGCTCTTTCGCGAGCTAAGATGGAAAATTTCTGGACACTGGCAAAGAGCGCCAAGCCTGCCGAGCTCTAATAGTCCTTGTTCTTTTATAAAGGGCCTGCGCGGGTCCAATTTCATGTACGTTTACAGAAAGCGAGTTTGCTCTTCGTTTTTAGTCAGTGTCAATTCAAATCATGCACGTGGTGCTTCAACTATGTAATATTGACAATTCCACACGTGCCCACTAGAAAAAGGAGCCATGATCAACTTTTACTTAAACAAAAAATATTCCCGAACCACATAACCCCGTTCCGTATGCAAATGTTCCGATGCCAGGATATCACTGAAGAACATGTAAAAAGACAAACATCGAATAGATCAGGACGGAGGAGGACCCTGGTGACCCTGGTTCCCGTTGTTGAGATTCCGCAGCAGATCAAGCTGGGCTTTAACCTGATCAAAGTTCATGGCAGGGGTTTGAGCTGGTTGCTGGGGATACTGCTGCTGCTGGGGCTGCTGGTATTGTTGGTGCTGCTGTTGAGGTTGTTGAAATTGCTGCTGTTGCTGGAACTGCTGCTGTTGTTGCAAAGCAGCCAGGAAAGCAGGGTTGATATGAGCACCTTGGAAGTTGCCAGGCATCTGATAACCCTGCTGGAAGGGGATTTGGAATGGGAACTGAGCATGTGCTCCACCCTGTCCGAATTGGGGCTGCTGCTGGGCGTATTGTGCGAATGCGGCGTAAGGCTGGGGCATCTGGGGCATATGGGACATATGAGACATCCCGTAGCCAGGCTGGGGCTGCTGGTACATGGCCTGGGCGTGGGGCGCGGGCTGGGCCTGGGGTTGAGACTGAGCCTGGGACTCGTAGTTTGAGTCGCCCTGCTGGTGAGGGCGACGGTCCTCCCACTCCCTTCCTCCTCGTCCGGCTCCACCTCTGCCGCGGGCTCCACGACCACGGTCACCACCACGTCCACGGCCTCGTCCACCGCGGAAACCGCCGCGCTCGGTGCCTTCGACTGGGGCCTCGCGGGCACCCATCATCTCGTGGAGGTTTGTGGGGCGTGCAAGGGGGGTGTAGCCATCTTCGCCTCCGGCATCATCGTAGTTGAGCTCGGTATGGATCAATTTCGAGGGGCCTGGTGCATTCTTCTTTGCGCGAGGGCCATCCCGGGCTTCCTTACGCTCCTGGCGCTTCTGTTTGATCTTCCGTTTGTATTCAAGCTCCGCTTCGTCGTCGGAGAATTCGATCTCTTCGTCGCCTACTTCCTCATCGTGGAAGTTCGAGGCGTCACTTCCCTTCATGCCCTTCAGTGGCTGGGTGAAAATGAAAGTAGAATGTTCTTCAACATAATAGACATCCATACCCTTGACCAAACCTCTCTCCTGGACTTCAGATGCAGTAGAGTACATGACGGTGTACATAGGGTTCTCGACTCTGCCTAGAGTCTCCGTCACAACACCAACAACATTGCGGTCAGCGGAGCAGAGCAAGGAGCCCGACTCGAGGACTTGGTATTCTCCAGATGTGTTGGCTTCAATGAGGACAGCATTGTCGATGGCGGCCTGGATCTTGCCAAGGAACACGATCTTTGTCTCAGGTGTAATCTTAACGTCGGGAATTGGCAGAACCTCTTGCTCAATCTCGTTGGCGGTTCGAAGTTGTGCGCCAGACTTTCCCTTGTCTACATCGTCGTCTTCGCCAGCCTCTGCTTGCATGAGAATGCGCGCCTGCTCTTCGGCACTCAGAATCGGATAGTCTTCGTCGTCGCTATCGTCGGAGTCCGAGGAGTCCGAGCTGTCAGAAGATGACTCGTATGGGGAAGAGTCGACCTCCCACTCTGGGTGCTCTTCCTCTTTCATTTCCTCCTCCTTGGTATCATTCTCTACTTGTTCAACCTCCATAGTTTCAACGTTGGTTTCAACGTTGGCAGTAGGCTCTTCCTTAGTGAGCATCGTGGCAGGCTCGTGTAGGTGGGGGTTTTCGGCGAGTTTCAATCCGGGGAGGCTCTGCTGGGTCTTTGATTCAGATTCCTCTTGTTTCACTTGTCTCTCGGGGGCTATTTTGCTAGCAATCGGAACCGGGGTTCCGCCTGTCAGAGGTGTGTTGTAGAAATCGCTACCGTTGTCTGGGGCGCTCGCGGTAGGCGGCGCATCGGCCAAGCTAGCCGTCTTCGAGGTAGGGTCGTCGCCGACACTTGCTGACTCCACTGGGGGGTTTTGGTGGCCACTCATCTTGCATCAGGGGATAAGAGACTAGAATGAGCAATAAAATATGGAATGATAAGAAGATCAAGAAAAAAAGTTGACGGGAACTTTTTTTTATTTTGCCGGATCTGCCAGGCGGTCTGGTTAGCCTTATCGGTTATCGGAGCTCCTCATCTTCATGTCAACTTATACAACAACATGGCGAACGCAGGGGCTCATGGGCCTAAGACGAAGCAGCGGTATGTTGTAATTTTATAGGGGAGAGATGGCTGCTGACATCATCTTGATAGTCCCCCACCACCTCCATTCTACATCCCACTCAACATCACCCTCTACTTATGCCTAGTGGCCAATAGCCTTGCGGCGCTGTTCTCCCCAATCCAAGATTGTGATGAGGTGTTCAATTTTTGGGAGCCTACACATTACTTACAGCATGGATACGGACTTCAAACATGGGAATACTCGCCAGTCTACTCCATCCGGAGCTGGCTATATGTGTCATTGCATGCCGCAGTAGGGAAGCTGGGGTCCATGTTGGTGCACAGCAAGACAGCTGAATTCTACACAATCCGCTTGACTCTTGCATTTGTATGTGCTGCCTGTCAGACTCGGTTATACTCTGCCGTCTGTCGCAATCTGAGCCCCCGCATCGGCCTCTTGTTTGTGATGATTGTTACGCTCAGCCCGGGCATGTTCCATGCATCAACCGCCTTTTTGCCATCGACCTTTACCATGTATATGTCCATGCTTGGCTTTGCTTCTTTCTTGGATCGACAGAATGGACGGAAGACAGCACAGAGTATAATGTGGTTTGGTCTAGGTGCAATTGTCGGATGGCCGTTCGCTGGTGCTTTGATTGTTCCTCTTTTGATGGAGGAGGTTGTTCTGGGCATTGCTTCTAGATCTTTTGCTTCGCTCTTCTGGTCTCTCTCCGATGGTTCTGTCCTTTGTTTGTTCATTGGGGTACGTCTTATTGATTTGAGCTTCGAGAATTCTCAGTTGACATTTTACAGACTGTTGAGGTCGCAGTTGACTATGCCTTCTTCCAAAAAATTGTTCTCGTGCCATGGAAAATTGTTGCATACAACATCTTGGGAGGTGAGGGCAAGGGTCCAGACATTTTTGGCACGGAGCCATGGACCTTCTATATTCGAAATCTCCTACTCAACTTTAATGTCTGGTTCCTCTTTGCCATGCTATCTGCGCCAATCCTGTTCATGCAGACCATCTCCAGGGCCAAAGGAACTTCTATAAAGACAATGCTGCGTTCCATGGCCCTGGTCGCCCCTTTCTACATGTGGTTCGGGATTTTCTCAGCCCAACCTCACAAGGAAGAGCGGTTCATGTACCCTGCATATCCATTCCTGGCACTCAGCGCAGCTCTCTCGTTCCATATCATCCTGACCTGGGTTGGATCTACTAATCCGAAGGAGCTGATTGGACGTGTTCCGGCCAAACTCAAGCTTGCTCTAGCTTTGTCTGTTGTTCTGGTCGCTGTAAACGCTGGCATGCTGCGTACCCTGGGCATGGTTACGGCATACGGTGCCCCGCTGAAGGTTTTCGAACCACTTCAGCAGGTGAATGTCGCGCAGACAGGTGACTCGGTATGTTTCGGCAAGGAATGGTATCGCTTCCCGTCATCATACTTCCTTCCCCATGACATGCGTGCCAAGTTCATCCGAAGCGAATTCCGAGGACTACTCCCGGGTGAATTCCCGGATGCACCTAGCTATCTTGGGCGTCTGAATGGTGCCTCGCAGGTCCCATCTGGCATGAACGATCTTAATATTGAGGATCCCAGTAAATACGTAAGTTGTGCGATTATTGCTGTGATCTTGATGATTCTCACTGACTTTCTGCAGGTTGATATCTCTCAATGCTCTTTCCTGGTTGACACCTATTTCCCTGGCCACGCCGCGACCGAGCTGGAGCCTAATTACATCCTGGACAAAGACAAATGGGAGACTCTCTCCTGCTCAAGCTTCCTCGATGCATCCCAGACTGGTCTCCTAGGCCGATTGATCTGGATCCCTGATTTCCCTATCATCCCCGATCGCTTCCGACGCAAATGGGGACAATACTGTCTTCTCCAGCGCAGCGCAGCCAATGTATAGAATGGCTCAGTGAGCATTCTGTAACATTCTGTTTAGAGGCTATTTGTAAAACTGACTTTGTAGAATGACTTAAATCTACACTGAAGGAATGGCTATCAAGTCCAAAGCCACCTTACCGAATCGGGGCAAAATATCCCTTAGGTAATTGCGAATGATAAGCTTTCAACTGTGATAAACTCTCCTTACACAAGGCCACTCTTCTATTTAGCTTTACTCCCACATGCAGCCCCGGATCCAACGACCCAAAAGAGACGAGGTGGAGAAACCTCCCCTCTTCTCGGCTATATGAGGTTAACCCTGCTCCAAGCCACATGTTAGAGAGATAAACGCCTATCTCGCATCGCATTAACAGGAATGGCAGCTCGCAAGAGAAGACCATTTGACGCGCTGCATAGACTTGATAAGGGCGATCAGGGCCGACCTCATACTAATAAACTCACTTCACCTAAATGTCTCGCCATACCTCTATAATATCTTTGGCTATGTGGTCTTAAATTACACCGCAGTCTTCTTCTTAATCTTACCTGGCATCCATATATTCACAATAATCATGTTGGCGTTTGAGTCCCTGCGAGAAACCATCTTATCAAATGCTCCAATGAATGACATCATCGGAGTCTTTCTCGCTCTGGGCTTTTGCGCCTATATTGTAGTCTTTCTCTCCGGGAGATGGCCGCTCATTTCAAACAAGACAGCCAGAGCCTCGATTCTTGATCTAGAGAAACCAGCTAGCAGTATTCGTGGGAAAGTCACCAGGCCACCGGGTGGTAAGTAAGTCACATACCACATAATGAACCCCAACCAACCTGTGCATAGAATGGACACCATCGGATTTCAAAAGACCAACGGCTGCTCCATATCCAGGCTGGGATGTCCATACAACCAGACCAATCCTCTATCGACCATTTCGATATGGCCCGTAAGTCGAATAGCCAAGGTCTTCATTCCTGGTCGTCTCTAACGTGGTATTTTAGTAAATACTTCATCACAATGGGTCTGCGAAGTATGAAGTGGGACGAGTGGATTGGTGAGTCCTAAGGTTCCCAGCCCTATAACACCCACTAACCTCATACCTACAGAACTCGACAACCATTATCTAAAATACCACGCCGACAAAGCCCGCCGCATCGAAGAACGTGGAAGCAAATGCTGCTATACAGATCCAGAAGCAACGGACGGAGCAATAGAGCTCCTAGAAGAACTGCAAGTCCAACAAAAGCCACACACATCCCTTCCAGATCTGACCGACCCATCAGATGTGCCTACCTCCCAGAAAGATACCCAACAATGTTCCAAAAGACCCCAACAGGAATAACAAACACAATAACGCACGAAACTTTCAACATAACCCAGCGCCCCCTCCCCGAAGACCCAATGGCAACTGCAGCCCGCCTAGTCCAAGACGACCTAGCCCTCATGATCGAACGCCCAGACGGCGAATACTACCTACTAGCAGGCGCAGTCCTCCTAGCAGGATTCTGGCGCCTAACCGATAAATTCGGCATGCGACTCTCAGAAATCCACACATCAGGCGATGTCCCAGGCTACGAATCCAAACTGGAAAAGGGGATGATGAATTTCTTCCGTAGGCTTAGACCCGAAGATCCAGTTATTCGGAATAACTATTTCATTCAGGTGGATGATAACCTGGCTTGGTCGCATAGTATTGGGCCTGAGGATGCCGAGACGGTATCGTGGAACACGGCGGAGAAGAACCGCGCTGTTAATAATCATTATTTCAGATCTGAGCGGCAGAGTTTGAGACGCTTGCCCAAGTCTGGTGCGGTGGTTTTTACGATTCGGACTTATTTTGAGCCTGTTACTGGGATTGTTAGGGAGCCGTATATTCCTGGGAGGCTGGCTGATGCTATTAGGAGTTGGGGGGATGATGTTAGTCGGTATAAGGGACGGGAGAAATATCAGGATGTTCTGTTGGAGTATTTGGGTCGGAAGCATGTTGAGCAAGTTGAGGGGGGGGTTGGAGGTTGAGAAGGAGGATGAAGTTAGGAGTTATCCTTTTTGAGTTTGGTTAAAGTTTTTAATGTTATATTTCCTTGTTGTATTTCTCTTTTGTTCTGTCCTGTGATTCTTTGCTTTGCTGGTCTTGAAAAGTTGAATATATATCCAAACTTAGGAACAGATTATTTAGGTTATATTCTATAAAATGTGGATACTATTTAAAAATGAAGGGCGGCTGGCCTAATGGTAAGGCGCTTGTTTTCGGCGATAGATCTTCCGAAAGGATCCTCTATGGAATACACAAGAGATTGCAGGTTCGATCCCTGCGTCGCTCATTTTTTGCTTTTTCTGTTTCTTTTTTGGGGGGTGTATTCCCAGATTTATTACTATGCTTTGCTGTATATACATACTCCTTGCATTTTGTAACGTGCAAAATTATTTGGATTTAAAGTAGCTTTGGCATTTAGAGCTGCATTGACCGAATGGGGAAAACCAATTCACTACTATGGCCTAACACATATATGCTCCATTATACCAGTCTACACATATCCCTGGAGGCAATATGACTGTAAGAATATACCTGAATATACTCACTCAAGTTTACGACGGTTCAAGGTCAGCTCTCAGCTACTACCCAAACGAGACATTAAGTAATCGCAACGGATCATGTCGTGTGTATCCAGCCATTGACCCTGTAAAGCCATGCTAGTATTGTATCATTCTACTTGGTCATTTTCTTGTCGTTTTGTTCGTGTCCCTGGTTCTCGTTGTAGTGTTGTATCGTGTGGGATCAGTCAACCTTGAGTGTGTAGGCATCGGCTCATCTGTCAACAAACTCGCGATCAATTCGAGCCCATGGTCTTTACGCCGACTCTGTGGTGGCTTTGTCCCAGCTGGCGCTTGCTGTGTCTTGCACATGTAGACTGGATGCTATATCTTCAGAGGGGTTGAGGTCCATATAATCACGTTGATCAACTCATCTGTCCCTTTCTGCGTTGAATTTGGAGACAGTTGTGCCCACTTTTGGTGGGTTGGCTTGGGTCCATCACTGAACACAGTTTACATCGACTGTCTGGTACGATGTGTGAGTTGTTGGTGATCATTGACAGACTGAGTCTGCTGGGTATCTTCCGGGTGTGGCTTGATGATGAAGTAAACTTGTTGGCTCGTGATGGTGTTGGCTGGCTTGGTGTTGAGGGGAGACGCTTGGGAATCTGGGTGTCGGCCCTATTGACTAGCGATGGTATCTTGGCCGTGTTTGTTTCTCGTGGTCGAGGCAGGCGCGGTGCAGTTGGGGATCATATCTGCGACGTCACTTTTCGCTGGTTTGCACTTTTTTTGCTTTGTGTTGTCCGTAAGACTCCCTCGCTCTGTTGACATTCTTGCTGTATTTTCTCGGTCGCAATCTCGTGTGGTATTGGTTGAGTTGGCTGTTTGTAACTCCCGGTCGCAGTGCCAAGACCAGTTGAACCCCTGTTTTGGGAGGTTCAACTTGCACTATGAAGCAACTCCTGTCTTTTGGACTACCACACCCCTAGTACTTTTTTGTGAACTTCAATTTTCCTCTGATTGACTCCTTGTCAATGGCAATTGAATATGGCTGTTTTACTTTCTCGGTATGAGCCGTGTGGATGGTCGATCTGGAGAAGCTGGATTTCCATGCTCTACTATATATATCTCATACTGGGGTACAGGACGTACACCCATCAGATTCAACCACAACGGTTCACATTAACATTATTTCCCACGATCCGATACAATTGATACCGGACTAAGGATACAGGCATGGAGAATTATGTCAATAATCAGCAAAGAGCACAACAGTCAGCCAGTGTAGATATCCCCATGTCGGTTTACCACATATACAAGAACTACGTGGCAAGACTACAGACAAATTAACCATACAAGACACATTAATGGAAGCACCGACTAGAACACAGATGCAAAGACTGAATTGTAAGACAATAACTACTACGAGAACTACCATGAAGAGTGACTTGGCCTGAGGCCATCACAACAACGCGTCGGATCAAGTACGCGCAGCCATCCCACCAAAAGATACACAACGCGTCAACACAGACACCCATGCCACGTACAATTTACAGCTACTTGAAGATAATTGTTTGAAGTTTTGATTGTATTCGTATCGGATCGCACCAAGTGCTGATCCCACCATGGAGGTGCCAGCCGTAATGAAGAAGGCCGCTATGATACAAAAAAGCTCAGAAGCGAACACTAGCAGACCCGTAGTGGACGCACAATAGTGGTAATCGAGTGTAAAAAGCAAACCCAGAGACCCATGACGATTGTAGTAAAATAAATCAGAGAACACCCCAACGTCCCGTCATACCGTAGAACCAGCCCGGAAAAGAAAAGCACAAATGATTTAGCCACCGAAACCGTAGAGGGTACCTGAGAACGAGTTAGCATGAGGTCATGAGAGAACAGAAAGCAGAACTTACGGCCCTGGCGCTTGAGAGCATAGACGACGTCAAGAGACGTGACGGTCTTGCGCTTGGCGTGCTCAGTGTAGGTGACGGCATCACGGATGACACCCTCGAGGAAGGTCTTGAGGACACCGCGGGTCTCCTCGTAGATCATGGCGGAGATACGCTTGACACCACCACGGCGAGCGAGACGGCGGATAGCGGGCTTGGTGATACCCTGGATGTTGTCACGCAAAATCTTGCGGTGACGCTTGGCGCCACCCTTTCCAAGACCCTTGCCACCTTTGCCACCTGTAGAAAACGCGTTAGACGCGTTCAGAGAAGGGAAAAGTGGATCACTTACGGCCAGACATGTTGTGTGATAGAAAAAGAGGTTGTAAAAAGGGGAAAGGTTGTTGTTGAAGTTGTCGAGATTGGGGAGAAGAAGAAGAGTATGGGGCAGAGGGTATTTGTATCAGACGAGAGGGAGGGCGCGTTGGGAAATCAGACGCTAGTCAGGAGATCAACCAATGGGAGCGGAGGATCCCGGGGCCAGGACTGATCTCCCGGGATCCTCTCAATTCGGCAATCCCAACTTTGGCGGTAGTGATCTCTGATCCTTCTTCGGTTCACCACCAACAATGTAAATCACGCGTAGTAAACAAGGTAAGATACATTCCAAAGCATGCTGGATAGAATGGAATTGGTTAATTTCCTTCCCAGCCCACTTTGGGCTCGAGATCAGGAATTCCAGGGTGAAGCATTCTATACTCCGTGATCCTGCACTCTCATTGGTCGGATTCTCGCTTAGTGTACCAACTCAGGCAATGCAACTGACCAATCAGCATCTACTGCAAATCAGGCTTTGGCGGTGACTGCTTTCCGTCCTTTGATTCTGATCTGCCAGGCAGCCAACGTGATTCGTCTGCCAGTTCTCTCAAGATCATTCCCCCCTCCCCCGTTCCTACAAATACTCTTCCCCCACCCGCCTCTGACTTCCCTTCCTCATCCATCTTCCGACAACAGTTTTTTCATCAAAACTATCCACTAAATCATCATGGCTCGTACCAAGCAGACTGCCCGTGAGTATTCCATCTCTTCCTTTCCACATCATCGTCATCTCTTTCACTTTACTCTCTTGATCATGGTCATGTGACATCACCAAGGGAGAAGAAGAAGACCTGACTTGATCTTGACGCGACGCGCCCCGAGACCAACTGCTAACAAGTCCAACAGGTAAGTCCACTGGTGGCAAGGCTCCCCGTAAGCAGCTCGCTTCCAAGGCTGCCCGCAAGGCCGCCCCCTCCACCGGAGGTGTCAAGAAGCCCCACCGTTACAAGCCCGGTATGTTCCGTCACCTTCAGTCATCCATTCACCTACTAATTTCCCCAGGTACCGTCGCTCTCCGTGAGATCCGTCGCTACCAGAAGTCCACTGAGCTCCTGATCCGCAAGCTCCCCTTCCAGCGTCTGGTCCGCGAGATCGCCCAGGACTTCAAGTCCGACCTCCGTTTCCAGTCCTCGGCCATCGGTGCTCTCCAGGAGTCCGTCGAGGCTTACCTCGTCTCCCTCTTCGAGGACACCAACCTCTGCGCCATCCACGCCAAGCGTGTCACCATCCAGTCCAAGGACATCCAGCTGGCCCGCCGTCTCCGTGGCGAGCGCTCGTAATTTCTTCATCTTTAATACGAGCTGGTTTCAAGGCGATCATGGGGTTTTGTTTTTATCTTTTATCATGACTGGCGATACATGATGGGTTTGCTTTCCAATATCAATGGGTTCGGGAACTGGGTTTCTCTGATTTTGCTGTTTTCTCCCTGGGATTCGATGCTACTGTCCGGAATGAATCGGTCATGGGCATGTACATTAAAGGGATCTCTCTTAACTTGATGCCTTAGCGCGCATCAGCTCATGGCATAGACGCGAAATGCGATATCTATGATTCTTCCAACTATTTCCACTTTCAGCAACGCGTAGCTTGTTATGATCTTGACGCGACGATGCTAGAGACATTGAACCCCACTTAGTGTGTCTTTCGCGATGGCCTGGCCCCTGCTCAATCAGTGTGTTCCCTGGACTGGCAACGGTCACGTCCCAACGTGAAGCCTATGTGCCTCAACCCCTTCCGCCCCGAAGTCTACGCTCGTGACTCCAAAACACGACCATCCATCCCAACGCACGAAGCAACCAAGTCCTTATATAAAGAGCTAACTGCCTCTACTTCATACGCTCTCCACAATTACTCGATCCCCATATCCCACCGACGTCATCGAGATGCCTACGCTTAACCTCTAACGCTCAACTCACATGATTCCACCACGATCTCCCCTTCCATACCATTCGAGTATGAGAGTATCACACGTAGCGATATTCATCTCCAATGACCAGTCAAGTACCAGTCAATGTACAACGAGCAAAAAGAGACAACTAATACCCAATTCTGAAGTGAGAGACTTAGGCTTCAAGATCCTCACGAAGACTCCAGCTGGGATTGAACCTGCACATTGAATACAGCTGCACAGTACAAGTACAAATAATTTTCTGAATATGCCTTGGCAATAATAGAGACAGTCTCGTTTCAGTATTTACGTCGTTACTTGGTGCGATGGTGGTCCTCAAGATGCTCGCTTCACATACGCCTGGATAAGAGCGCCTGAGTGCTCCTCAGATATTTCGGCTCATGGCTCTGCTCCTGATCAGGAATAGGAAATGGGTACTATCACACAACCTTATCCAAGACTAGATGTGAATGTGCCGCGCAACCAGTCCACTGTTGCCCGAATGGACTCGCACTAAGAGCCGCCACACAAGTACTACATACAGTATCAACCGAACAGGGTACAATCGACAGGGAAGACGAAGGCCTCCAAGTCCCAATGTCATTTCAGTCCCAATCCGAGTCCAAGTCCAATCCGAGCAAAACGCATGAACTGGAAAGAGCCACGATGAGCTCGCAACGTCATCATATCCACATACATGGAAGATATGCAAGCCCTCTTCCCGAGATCGAGTCAATTCAAGCAGACGAACCAGCATACAATAAAGGACCAGGCGATGGATGGGTGCTTGGCAGGTGGCTATATCAGAATGAGTCATAGCACGCTCATACATTCATGTATCTCGTTGCCTTGAACGAAAAACTTGATCATATGATGGGATCTAGGTCTCATGACTACAGTATCCCAAAAAACAGACCGATTTCTGGAGGGTCTCGAAGGGCCTTCAACATGGACCTGGTACTTGGTATTCGTTGCAGTATTGCTCATAATATAATATGTAATACTCAGAGTCTAGTCCACGGTAGATAGAATACAATGCCGACACGCACAGCCAAGAGCGAGGAAGGGTCTATATTGTGGTGGCAAGCTAGACTAGTCACCGGAATGAACTTCCACAGTGGCAATGAAATGTACGAATGGGTCTAATGAGCAAAAAGGGATTCTTTGTCAATGAATCGCATGTATGAAGCTCAAGACCCTTTCTTTGCGTTGTGTACTGTAATCCCGTATTTGGACTGATGGTGGACTGGGGAGACGTTCATTCTGAGGAGATATTTCCTCCTTAGAATTCAAGTGTCTGTACTGGTTAACTGACTAACTTTTAATTAATTGTAATGTTGGAATCTGATGTGGGACCGAGTGACTTGTATGCGCTTTTTGGGTTTGTGATCTTTCTTTTAATACGAATTCAATACCGTCGAAACTTAAACATACAATAAAAGCCATTTGACGAAATATACCACCCAGTTTTGGAATCACATTATCAAATGGGCATCAAGATCAACCCAATATAATTGACACCTCGAAGTACCGCACTGTGGGTCATCCAAAGCAACAAGCCTGGCAGCCTGAGGCATAAAACCCTGAGGCACGAAGTCCACCTGATTACGAATAGAATATTCTAGCTTACACGCTAGAACGGCTCTTTCTTTGCTGCCTGCAAGCCTCACCCCTTTTTCCAAAATGGTGGGCTGCGGCATCCCCGAGCCTCGGGTCGGGTTAACCACCTTCTTTGAGGTATTGGCTTTGTGGCTTGACCTTTGACTCGGGTTCTTCCGAGTACACTTTTTGCTGTGGCTTGAATTGGATTTTGTGTGAATTGTGAATTCTGTGTGGGCTTGATTCTGGATTTGCATCATGTATCCTTGCCATCTGCGCTTGGAGTATCTTCGGGATATGTACTTTGTACTTATACTAGGGTATTATATTATCGGTATTGTACGTACGTAGTGCACTCGGCATTCCCATAGTTCGCGGGAATGCTTGGTAAACGAGCCAGTCACGAAGTGCAGTATAACTATCATACTTAAAAATGGCCCAGTCTCAAAATCAGATGAACTTAGTGACACGCAACCTCACGCCATTATGGGAAGTTATGCATTGTCCATGTTACGGTCAATCAGATATGAGTCAGATACCGGTTAACTTTATGCAGATCAGGCCTCCGTGCAGCATAAAATCGGAGTTCAAACTTTGGCCCCAGTTCGACGGTGATTAGCAAGCACAGGGTAGAGTAAGCCATAACGGAAATAAGGCCAAACTCCAGTAATACCTGTGGACAGGACGAGCACCGGAGATTATCCAGCCATGTGGCACCCGAAAACCCTCATCTATTCTAAGTTAAGTTGCCGGTAGAATAGGGCATCAGGTACCCCTTTGGTCAGTGCTAGAACCAGAGATGTGCAGATTCGAAATCCAGGGTTGTATCAGGTCAGAATATGCGAGAACATCGCATGTTTCAAGATTTTCAAGGTTGAAACCACGGGCCAGCCAGATTCCTGTCCAATCAGAGAGATGCCGCATACCCGAGTGGCATCTTGGCATTTTTGTATAAATCACGTGTGTAAAACGTGGTGCGGAGATTTTGATGCACAACATATGTGTACTGTACTGGATAATATCTACTGTCTATCTACAATTGTGTCTACAAGTGCAAGCAATTAGATTTTATGATATATACTATACTACACTATACTGAACCACAAGCATCATATTATACAGGAAAAATGTACATGTACAAATCCAGACCGGAGATAACAGACCGCATTCGGCGATCTCCACTCTGCATAAGTTCATAACCAAGATGCGCCAAAGTGAATAATATGAATTTTTAGCTTGGAAAAAGCGCCACGGGGTAATCTCTCAAGAGCTGCATATATAATAAAGCTAGCCTGCAATCTCAGCTTCCAGTTTACATCTTATACCTACACTTCCATATTAGTTCCCATCCACCAGGGCACCTAATACCTAATTAGGACCATTGCACACCCCGCAAACGGTCTCAGGGTCTATCCACAATAAAATACCTCTCACCTCCCCACCTTACCGAGTCTGGCCACCGCATCCTAATAAACAACCCAGAGCATCGACTCTACACATCTGCCGCCATGGCAGCCAATACGGAACCCCAGCTCGAAAAGATCGAGATGACTGCCCCAACCAAGATCCCATACTGGCGCTTGGTCTTTGACCAGGGTGTCGTTACACAGGAGATTATTGATCACCCGTACCCCGGTGCAGGAACAGACGACGACCCATTTGCCGTAACATGGATCCCCAATGATCCTCGCAATCCCATGAACTTTAGCGAGGCAAAGAAGTGGTCATTTACCATGCTTGTGGCTATTGCTACGCTGGCTGTTGCCTTGGTTTCTTCGGCCTACACTGGCGGTATTGAAGAGATTATGGCTGATTTCGGTATTGGACAAGAGTTGGCTACTCTTGGTGTTTCGCTTTTCGTCTTGGGCTTTGCGGTATGTGATGCTTCCTGGTTTTTGACTTGAGCTCAGTGTTAACGTATTCTGTTATAGATTGGTCCTTTGCTCTGGGCTCCGCTTAGTGAGCTGTTTGGTCGTCAGATCCTATTCGTTACGACCTATGCTGCTCTCACAGCTTTCAATGCTGGTGCTGCTGGTGCCCAGAATAGCTGGACTCTTATTATCCTGAGATTCTTTGCTGGTTCCTTTGGTTCTTCGCCTTTGACCAATGCCGGTGGTGTCATTGCTGATATGTTCCCCGCTAAGCAGCGTGGAGTCGCCATGTCACTCTTTGCTGCTGCTCCGTTCTTGGGTCCAGTCCTGGGCCCGATAATTGGAGGCTTCCTCGGTATGAATGCTGGATTCAGATGGGTCCTTGGTTTCTTGGCTGCTTTCTCGGGCGCTGTCTGGATTATGGGCTCTCTGTTGATCCCCGAGACCTATGCGCCTGTTCTGTTGCGCCGCCGTGCCGAGAGACTCTCAAAGCTGTCTGGAAAGATCTATCGCAGCAAGATCGATATTGACCAGGGCAAAGTCTCCCTGAAGAACTCCTTCAAGGTCTCGCTTTCTCGCCCTTGGATCTTGCTGTTTCGCGAGCCTATCGTCTTCCTCCTTTCTCTGTACATGGCAATCGTCTACGGTACCTTGTACATGATGTTTGCAGCCTTCCCTATTGTGTACCAACAATCACGCGGCTGGAACCAGGGAGTTAGCGGTCTCGCCTTCCTCGGAATTATGGTCGGCATGTTGATCGCAGTGGTCTATACTCTCTGGGATAACAAGCGCTACGTTAGAACCTCAGACAACCACAACGGCTTCGCACCCCCGGAAGCCCGTCTTCCACCTTGTTTAATCGCCTCCATCGCTATCCCAATCGGTCTCTTCTGGTTCGCCTGGACAAACTACACCTCAATCCACTTCATGGCCAGTATCGCCGCAGGCGTCCCCTTCGGCTTCGGCATGGTCCTCGTCTTCCTCGGAATCATGAACTACCTCATCGATGCCTACACCATCTTCGCCGCCTCCGTCCTAGCCGCAAACTCCGTCCTGCGCTCCCTCTTTGGTGCTGCTTTCCCTCTCTTCACTACCTACATGTACAAGAACCTTGGTATCCACTGGGCATCTTCGGTACCAGCCTTCCTCGCTCTCGCCTGTGTGCCTTTCCCATTCCTCTTCTATAAGTACGGCCCTGCAATTCGTACCCGGTGCAAGTTCGCCGCCCAGTCCGAGGCTTTCATGCGCAAGGTCCAGGAACAGGTTGATACCACTCCCGTTGAAGAAGAGAAGGTTGAATATGATCGCACTGAGGCGCCTGCTCCTGCTGGCTCTATCTCCAGTGAGTCGGAGGATGGCGTTGAACAGCTTCCTTCTGCGCAGCGCATTCGCAGTCGTGCTCACTCTGTTGCGTCGACTCGTACTGCGGGCTCGTTGCACCGTTCGGTCACTTATGAGGGTAACCCGTACGATATTGACCGTGTCAATACTCGTGAGTCTTTCAAGAACTAGGTTGTTGCTGTGCGGCTCCTGTTCTTATTTAGACTTTGTCATTTATGCTTGACGAAGTCGTTTTAATCTTAGTTTTTATTCCCCTACCCTACTCCTACACACCCCAAAAATTCTCCGTTTTGCATCTGCTGCATATGCGTATGCGTTTGCTTTTGTTTTGATACCCGATGGGATCTTGTTCTCACGCTGGGGATGACCGATTATGTGTCTACGGTTTGCATCTATATAGATCTGGCGTTTTGATTAAAATAATACAAGATCACTATCCATTCAATATCGGATTCTATATTTAATAGCCCTAAATAACAAGATAACATAAGCACCAATCGGAATCCTCACCCGGCACTGCATTCACCCGACACTCGGCTTTCCCGTCACAAGAGATCTCGAACTTCTCCCCGAACTCCCACTCATTCAGTCTTTCACTCTTTTGTTTTCCATTTTTTATACAAAAACCCTCATCGCAAATAGATGTACAGACCAGCGCCCCAAATATGACACCGCTCCCCAAATCCCTCGGCCCAAGATCAACATTCCTCCGACCGCGACCGATAACCCCCGGATTCCACCCTTTGCGCCGACCTCGCTGTCACCGCTATAAGTCTGATTCTGCGTCGGGGAATAAAACACATAAAAATGCAAGCACAAACACAGTATGCAATATGGGATCGAATGCTACACAGTCACACTCAACATCACATTTAAATCACCATGCCTCGCCTCCGCCAAAAGATACACCCGCCGCATCAGCAGGCGCAGCAACACCACCCATAAAACAATCTCGCACCTTCGGCGTTCGCATCCGCGACTCGATCAAGGCTGGCCCCGCGGGAAAACTAGGAAGGTGGTATGCGCGCGTGCAACATGAAAGGCCATATACGACGCAGTTCTGGAGTTCGATTGTTATTTATCTCTGTGGAGATTTGAGTGCGCAGATGCTTTTCCCCGCTGAGATTTTGCCCGAGAAGGGAGAGAAAGGCGATGCGCAGACTGGCCAGACTGGCCAGACACGGACACAAGCCGCTGTTGGAGATGGGGAGGACGAAGGGCCCAAGTATGCTGGATATGATCCGTATAGAACGATGCGACATTTGGTTGTTGGGGCTGGGTCTAGTATTCCTTCTTATAACTGGTACGCTTGCTTTCTTTCCTTGGTACAGTACAAGATCAAGAAGAGGAGACTAATGTTAATATCAGGTTCCTATTCCTCGGTAACCACTTCAATTACCCCAGCAAAATCCTCTCAATCCTGACGAAAGTCGTCGTCCAACAAACTTGCTTTACACCCGTCTTCAACACATACTTCTTCAGTGTGCACTCCCTCCTCGGCGGTGCGACTATGGAAGAGACCTACGAGCGCCTGAAGAAGGCTCTGCCTGTTTCTATCACGAACAGTGTTAAGCTTTGGCCGGTTGTTACGGCGTTCAGTTTTATGTATATACCTGCGCAGTTCCGGAATGTGTTTTCTGGTGTTATTGCTGTCGGGTGGCAGACTTATTTGTCTTGGTTGAATCAGAAGGCTGCTAAGGAGGTTTTGTTGGCCGAGATTGCGGAGGAGGAGAGGGTTAGGGGATTGGTTGGGCCGGGGGGAATTGAATTGATTGCTGGGGCTGTGTAATTTTGATGTTGGATTTTTATATTGAGTATAGATGAGAGCTGGGGGTTTTGTATAGACTTAGATTTATAGATTTGCGTGTTACTTAGCGTTGCATTTGATACCATATTAGATCAATGGATTTCTGTTTCTTGTATCGAGTTGAGTTGTATTAATTGTAATTCGCTGCATTTACAGCTATTTAATCAAAATTATCTTCGCAATTACCACTTGTAGATAGCTATAGTCGAGGTAATCAGAGTCAGCCACTCACAACCCCAGAATTCCCAATGACAATGACGCATCTCCAACTCACCTCACCTCAGCACCAACCTCAGTCTCAACCCATCATGACCTTCCGGCATGTACGGAACTGACCAAGAATCAGACTACGGTTCCGAATTCAGCACAGACGAAGAAGAAATACTAGACGACCTCCTCAAAGCCGCCACGGAAAACGCGACCGTCCAGCCCGCCACTCCAACCCCAAGCTCGACTGCAATCCCGACCTCCCCGAAACAAACATCCACAAGATCGGACATCCCCGATCCGGACATTGCCACTCTCTCTCTCCGGCGGCAATTGCAGCCCTCGTTGCCGATATTGAGGATGGCGTTGGCATTGCGCAACCGGGTACACCTACACGTGCACAGTTACCAAAGGTGCTGGGCCCGGAAGGGCCCCGTTCACCATGGCGGTCAGGCCAGGGTAAATCAGGTCGCATGGGCGGGTTCAGCAGGATGGCGAGTGGCAGTCCGCGCGCTAGCAACAGCAACAGGGCCAGCCCGCTTGGTATGCTCTTCCCATTCCACTCCCGCTCTGTTCATGGCGTAACTGAATTTAGCTAACAGCGTCTACCGAAGCGATTAGTCGAGCACACCAATTCAACAGAAGGCAGAACGATAGAGCGCGAGCGTAGCGCAGCGCGCGAACAGGAATGGATCAAGCAGGACCCAGCTGTTAAAACACTCGACACACGATCACCCGTCGAACGATTCCGCAGAGCACCTAATAAAGCGTTCTCCGTTACGGATCTTGTTTCGCCTGCTTGGTGCGAGCTGCAGTATTGGTATACCCTTACCAAGCATGGGCGGAAGAAGCGCACGCCTGCCATGCTACGCGGGAGTACTGTGCATAAAACTCTTGAAGATGAGATATATACCACTGTCCCTGTGGAGATTTCGACGAAGGAGGATGCGTGGGGTCTTCGGGTTTGGAACATTATCCAAGGACTGCGTATGCTGCGTGAGTATGGGGTTACGCGGGAGATGGAGGTTTGGGGGCTTGTTGATGGGGAGATCGTCAATGGGGTTATAGATCAGTTGTCTTATGAGTGTCCTGATTCTGGACTTGAGGGAACTGCTGCTGGGTTTTATGCCGATCTTGCTGCTTCCAGAGTTGCTTTGCCTGAGTATCAGATGTCATTGTCTGACTTTTTGCTTTCTTCTGCGCAAGGCGGGAGGAGTCTTTCTGAGTGGGGACAGGGTGGTGGCGAGGAGGTGCCTGGTCCGGAGAAGATGGAGCAGGAATTGCCTACGGAGGCTTATAGTCTTCCTCGCGTTTACTTGACGGATATTAAGACCAAGGCTAGTCGGTCTATACCGACTGTTAAGAGTACTGGGTTCCGGCCTACTCTTCTCCAATTACAGCTCTACTATCATATGCTGAACCGTCTCATCACCAGCGATGACGTGACGATTGACATCCTCGCCGCTCGGTATAACTTCAGTCCGGAGAGCCCATTCACAAGTGCATTTGTCTCAGAAGTCGACGGACTAAACGACGAATTTTTTGACGCCCTCTCTTCTCAAGAACACGAAGCAAGTCCAACATCAAACGCAAATAACCCAGCCTCGAACCCACCAGCCAATCAAGACTCAACCAGCATCCTCATGACACACAATACCCTCTCCCGTCTATGGGCATTCATGATAGACCAACTCCGCCTTACATTCCTTCCAGAAACAACACTCACAACCATCGCCCCATCCATCCCTGCAACCACCCAACCAGACCTCCTGGAGGAATATCAAACCCTCCTCTCCCCCGTCCTCACAGCCCGATACCTCTCCTCTGCCGTCGAAGAAGAATCCGCTTCCCGCCATCTGGGAAGTCGATCCTTCCTCTACGATCCTACAACCATGACCTCGTATCTCTCCGACCAGATGACCTGGTGGCGTGGCGAGCGTGATCCGTGTGGAGTAGAGATTATGGATGCGTGGAAGTGTCGGATTTGCGAATTCCGGGATGAGTGTGAGTGGCGCCAGGAGCGGGAGTTGGCTTATGCTAGACGGGGTGGGAGGAGGAGAACCAGTGATTCGGCGGATATGATTGATTCCGAGTAGATTCGGAGTGAGACCTGAAGTTGGATCTTGGTGTTTTCCTGTCTATCTTTAGCGATTGCATAGATCTGGAGCTGATAGAATACGCAAATACTTAATTTCATTCATGCTCTTGATATATGTGTGCATAGGCTCGAGTCTTCCTCCACAGTTATATATATATATATAGGTATAGATATAGTTATATCACAAGTTCCATTCCTAGAAAGGCATTATTTTCTTTCTGTATTTGCTTGTAGTCCCAAACGTGCAGACAGTATGATAAATTCTTATTGAAAGACAAGATTAAAAATTTACAACAAAATAAGAAATCATTAATTCAGTAAGGTAGCAAAAAATTAAGAGCAAAAAAAGAAGTGAGCGACGCAGGGATCGAACCTGCAATCTCTTGTGTATTCCATAGAGGATCCTTTCGGAAGATCTATCGCCGAAAACAAGCGCCTTACCATTAGGCCAGCCGCCCAGTTGTCTAATTAATTTTCGCCAAAGCGCATAGCGATGGTATGACCGGGAATATCAGACACCGGTAGAAACATTGATTCATGCAGTAAGAGGGCAGGGACACAGGAAGCAATACAATAAGGACCGAGTGAGATTAGAACCTAAATAAGCATAAAGAGTAAAACCATGGAATGGAAAAGTGAAAGAAAATAGGCGATGTAGGGATGAAACCTGCATTTTTTATGAAGAGTCGGATCGAACACAAACAAACCTCCTCTCATTAGATCCAGTGGTAAAGTTTCTGGGATATGTTCCAAGTCAGCCTCATTTGAAAACTGCAACTTTGTAAAAGACTGTGACATATGGTCTCTACAGATATGAACCAGTATTGCCCAAAAAGTACATCAATAACTCGACGAGTGGGCTACGTATAAAACAGGGTATCCACGCATTTACTACCACATCATCTAGACCAACCTAAAAGACAGACTCACAGTTTCCGATTCCAATACGAGTCACTTATAAGCCATATATGCCCAATCCGATAAAATCACACCAACAGCAGCACCCTGCTCACCATTAGCCCACGGTAATCCCGATATAGCATATACGGAGTCTTACCAATGACAAGTCCGCACCAGCAGCTACAGAAATATCAAGAACAGGCTGAGTCTTGCGGTAACCCGTAGTCATTAGCGGCCAAGTCCTGTTATGTTCCCAACTCTCCTTCACACAAGCCACCGTCCGATCCCCATCCACAACATCAAACCGCGGAATGCTATTACCATGCCTCTCCACAACCAAATTGACCTGTTTGTTCTCTTGATCTTTCGTCTCCAGGGCAGCTTGGTTTTCAAATGACATACCAAAGTCATTGATCCCATACTTCAACGAGTACTTCACAGCTGCATTGGCTACGGTGGCTTCGTTGCTGCCGGGTAGGGTGACAAACCACTTATGTGCGAACCTGGCCTTTTCGTGGATTTCGAATAAGGGTAGACCGGATGAGTCGCGGATTTCTCGACATGAGCGATCGCTATACTTCTTGCCTGTCACTGTGAACTTTGTTGAGTCGTTGTAGTCGTCAATGATCTTGAATCGGACAGCCGATTGGGCTCCGCCTTGTGGTTTAAGCAGGAGATGTGTGTCGGTAGTTGCGATGTGTTCTTTGCGGAGGGCTATCTGGCGCTGTGGTATTCTAAAGGGTTTGCGATCTCGTGGCCATGATACGGATTGTACCCATGAATTTGATTGTGTGGTGAACATGTTGAGATGAAGTGGGAGGTTGATGTTGAGCAAGACTTCTGGAGCGACAGAGCGCTATATAGTGTAGCTTTTGAGTCACTTGGTGACATCATCAACAGTGGCATTGTCGTACTAGGGTGACGCTAAATACTGTGATCTTCAGGGCATGCGCAAGGGACTCCACCCTATGCTAAAACCGAGTTGGTAAGTATAAGCCATGGAAGGCCACCAGCCCCCAGATCTGCCTTGAAGTAGCTTCATTAATCTCTGGATCTCTTTGATTTGGTCTCAGTACTAGAAAATGGCCCCCAAACTCAGCCCCTGCCGTGCCGATCACTGAAACGGGGCAAAATTTTATTTGACTGAAGTGGAGAATCGATATAAATACTGGCCCCCACTGTGTTTCTCTTTGCTGATATCTCATTCAAGTATGGGCTAATGTAGTCCTCTGTAGGTCGCACACTTGATAACACCATGTCAGATATCATATCTTGAAGACGACCATAGACCTTTGGGCAGAGCCCTCTAGGCAGACTCCAAACCAAAATCAGAAATACCGAATCAAACCTAAACATCTCACCCAAGATCATCCGTTTCCGTCGTGGGAATAGACTTCGTTGCAGTAGTGAAGCCTCATCCCCCAGAGCCTCGGCATCAAATTAATACGGAACCATTATTATCACCCCTGCCAGACTGCGATTATCGACCTGTCATGAGACAACATCATCCAAAACATACGAGAGAAAGATAATGAATTAACACAGATCTTATCACTCTGCGAGCCAGGACATAAGGTGGTGATCTCGAACACAACCCCTTCATACAGTATATTTGGCTGTCAGCATTCAGCATTCACGTGGGTCTCCGGCTTCCTTTCACTGCAAATGAACACAACAGTGGTATATTCATTGAGAATACCAATGAAATTCAAGCGGCATATATGAAAATATTGGACAGTATTCAACTTGCTCTGTGGAGGGAAGCCCTAATTGACATACAGAATGAGACGAGGCGCAACCACTTGACTTCCTCCATTCTTCTTCAGTTCGCGCCAGATCTGCCAAACAAGACCAGATTTCTCGTTCCACTCTGGTCGGTTCATCCTGGAAGCACCAGTGGCCTGTATCTAGTAGGGTGATCATTCTCAATCCCTTCAGAAAAAGCGGAGCGAGTCCATCCAGTATTTTGAGAGAGACATACTCTTCCAGACCCCATATCAAGATGGCTGGTACATTGAAAATCATCTGTGAGGTGTCGACTTCTTCGCCGTAGGGGGCTGAGGGAATTTACTATTGTAGTACTTGAGAATGCCATGTATAGGATGGTCTGCCAGATACTGTTGAACATCTCGCTTGCGTTCGGGGTTTCGAATGTAGCAAACAATGAGTTCCTCATTTTGAGGTCTCAGGCTGATAGTGGAAATATGGTAAAGTACATTCCGGCTTTTTCTTGTTGACCCGTGTCGAATTTGACTAGATTATAGAATGTCGGTATCATATGTGGGTTGATGAGAATGAGGCCAGTAACCCGCTCTGGATAGAACAAGGAGAATACCTGGATCAAAGCACCACCAATACCATGGCCTCAGATGATTTCGTTTTAGGTTTTGAATGATCAAGGATATCAAAAATATCTCCACAATCACTTTCAAATCGTATGCGTCGGGCATCTTCAAGGATATCTCTCAGTAAAAACTATTGAAAGTAGGATACACAAAACTGTAACTCTTGCCAAACTCTCCCGTTATGGGTAGAAAAGACAAACCATCATCCGCAAACGTGTATTGGAGGACCAGTAATGGCCCCTTGCCGCATGCTCGGAACTGAACATTGACACCATGGTTGTTCACGAAGCCTTCGTGCAACGATGCCATCATGTCAATAGCAATCAATAATTGAGTGAATTTCAAACAAAATTTTGAAATAACTAGTCCAGCAAACCTGGAACAAAAGACTACAGCTATAAATGCCCCTATCCCCCAAATTACAGACACCCCCACTATCTTCAATCTACTGCCCAATAGCGTGCCCACTGACTTTCCTCTGAGACTTACAAATAAATTCTGCTTAAAATCCGGATTTAAAATCCACAATGTATAGTAACGCAAGAGCCTTACATTTGTACAGTTACGTCACCATGTAGAGCTTATATTGTTAATGATCACTTATCAACTACTGGTATATAGGGGGCAGCCAAAGAGATAATTGAAAAGAATGCGAAAAGACTTATTTCCGTCTTCCGAAATAACAATAGCCAAGCCATCTTCAATTCAATTACCACGATACCAAAGTCAACAATGTCGTTCATTCCGAACGGTCACTTTCCCCCCATCAACCCATCGACTTCCAACAATGCGTCAAGCGAAGAACGGTGCACCGCGATTGACTTTTTCAACCGCCATAACTTTATATTTGAGGAGTGGGACCACGAGAAAATCATCTCAACATTTCTCCCCCAAGCCGATGTATACCACAGCCACGGGACCATCCGCGGCCACGAAGAGATAAGACGTTTCTTCGAGGAGAGCTATGAGTTCTTTATTCACGGGATCACGCGCAGCGCCACAAACCATGTCGTTGACCGTGACGAAGAGAGTGGCGTGGTAGTCAGATACCACGAAACTCTCATCAGATATGGCTGGAAGGGAGATGATGCGAGTAATGTTTCTGGTCATGATACTATCAGAACTGATGGACTTCCTGCAGTATGGTGGACTGGCCCAATGACTGATCGCTTAAGAATGACTGCCGATGGCTGGAAGATATTCGAGCGTTATCTTGGAGCTCCCATCAGAAACCAGGCTCTCGATCCCCCAAACACAGCCTGACTGATAGATTATGTGAAAATTTTGAATACAAGAGATCGATTCTTTAGATTAAGATAACACTTTTATACAACACGTAGTCGGCATTCAAATAGAGAGCAAAAAAAAAAAAAAAAAAAAAAAAGAAAAAAACATACAACAGTAAGGATTCGCTAGTGGTCACCCACCTAACTACTAACTTACCGGCGTGTGGCTTAAGTACGGCTGAGCGGACGGGAAGCCCTGTTCTCCACACCCTGTGGTCGTATGTACTTATCGTAGTATTCAAGAGGAATATATAGATTGAATATGGTGGCCGCTTTGTTGTCGCGCGACTAGGACTGAGAAGGGTGAGTGCGCAATAGACAGAGCAAGAATAGAACATAATTGGGCCACGAGCGCCTATCTGAGACTGCTAGTCTCTCAATGTCTGCGCACAGCCTCTCGCGGAATAGTACGATCGCATATCATCCGTCTCTTAGCGTAGAACCTGATTCTACTCACTGCAACGGCCATGACTCCCGCGCTCCCCTTTATGATATTGTCCGCCTATCTATTTCCCTAGGCAATAGGCTTCAACCATTATGGAAAACCATGTGATATTGCAATAAATGTGTTGGTTCTTGCTTAAAGTACAAGAAACATGTCATCATTGCAGATGACAGGCTTTGCGTTGAACATATTGGTCTATCCCTTCATGAATTTTTTTGGTTGCATAGCCCACGCTGAGAGCTCTTTCAACTTCGATAATGGATTTTTAGGGTACCGTCATATGGGCCATCATGCCGGTGGCAAAGGGAGTTCAAACGTCTCTTTACTTGTCGGACTTCAGTAATCTCGATATCAATAGGGCTCTAGTAGCCTTGTTCGGACGAAAACTAAAGACGATCCGTAAGAGATGACTGCACGAGAACACCAGTGCTGGAACAATTATTTCGAAATTGTAAACCTATAGCCGCCTTCAACCGGATGCGAGGTGAACAACTCCCACTCGTTAAGCTGCCATACTCCAGCGACGACATTACCGAAGCAATGAACACCGAGAAGCATGCCGCTATGTAGGTTACGGAAGTCAAAGCGCTTTTAGTGTACTTCAACTTTCCACTTTTGCATATTGCTATTTTCCCACGGGCATATTCTCACTTCCCTCCCGACTGCCGTAACTATACATCCCTGGCTCACAGAGGACAACTAGCTGGATGTCTTCAATCCGTATATACGGTGGAAATTCGCAAGGAACCTCGTCTTCCACCGTCGTGAGCTCGATTTTCGGTCCGTCGACAAAACAGTTCTTCTAAGGCATTCCAACCTTCGTATGCTGAATGATGGGAGACCAGCGAATAGGCTGAGAACTGAAAGTCGTCATATAAACATAGGGAAATAGATAGAAATGTTTAATTGATCCTCCAAATTTATGGACAGTGGTTGCAACTCAAAAGATACACGCAATCAAGCTTGGCTACGATAAGCAGCACTAGACTTGTGTATCTCCGCTTCCACCGTCTTCTGAAACGCCAAGAGAAATCCTCTATACTTCACAAACACATCCTATCTTGCCAAAGCATTGGACTATATCGCCTTATTAAATTTGACTACATTAAACAGCCCTATATGTAGCAGCTTTTTGGGGAAGTATATCGAGAACTCTCGCAACATTCCTGCAACTCCCTTTCCGTGGATCAATGCTCTGATATCACATAGATTAAAACGGACCTCATGCGATGAAATCAAAGGCCACCTACCACTGATAGTGATACCAATCTCGGCTGGATTATATATAATAGCCCCCAGGGACATTTGAGAGGTACCTAATACTGCACGCTGATTGCTAACACGGATTATATATTCACTCGATCAAATCATCCTCGCCAAACGTAGACGTTTAAAGCTACGTAGTTATGTATATAAAATTCATTATTCGCACAGCTCAAAATCTAGCCTAAACAGCGTTTTTGGCAGTACCTTTGCATCTCTCCCAGACACCTAAGCGCATATTTCTCTCCAGGGCCAGCATCCTCTGCCCAAAACTTGGAATGAATACCACCATCTAGGTCAATTTGGTTTGGCGAGTTAAGATACCATGAAAAGAGCAGCCTTGTCCACGGCATAGGTCCATCTAATCGATGGATATAGTTGAGAAGGTCTTGCTCAGGCAATCTATGTCCAAACAATTCGGGGTGGGCGAAAATCGCAAAGTAATAATCATATATCTCTTTTGACGGTGAAAACAACATACAGCCGACGTTGAAATATGACTTCTCGCGCTAGGGGTCCAGATATGGATACTCGTGGTCTCTCTCGGCAGATTCTGGCGTAGCGGCAAACATAAAATTCCGAGGAAGGGCGGATATTTCCCTTTCGGTGTCGGTTCGAGTTGCATTAGGGTCAATCGTATTCAAACGAGTACTGTCGTCATCGAAAATTGCATCAAGTGACCTTGTGATAACCATATCGGTATCCATCAAGAAGACCTTTTTGTAGGGCATAACTTCATAATCAAACACCCGTAGTTTCGTGAGCACTTGAGCGTAGCGAGGTTCGCCGATCGAGAAGGCATGGTCCACTTCCTCGATCTCGATCACACTTGCCCCGTCCGCTTGGAGCCGTATTCGCTTACTTTGCCTAACATCTTTTGTCACCAGAATCACCACCGGGGCTGGCGTTTTCAGCTTAGTTGTAGGTGAGTGAAGGAGTTGATAAACAAGCGTTCGTGCGCCCATATAGTACCAATCGGCCTTGTCACTGTCATCATCTCTTGCATGGTAGTCTGCCCTAAGGAATAGCTATAGCATGGGGACTTCGAGGTGGGCTTTGCGGAGGAGTTGTGGTCGGAGATGAAGTTGTAGTGACGCTCGGCGCATCAATTGGAATATCAGGACTGCTCGGCGGTTGAATTGAAGCATTAGGACGGTCATAATAGAGAATCACGTTGGAGGGTGGTTGGTGGACATTATTGAGCAAAGTTAGAAAATAGAGACAAAAGCTAGTGGCAAGCAGCGGGATGAATAATTTCCTCGCCTGTGTCGGACTGGTAAAGTTCATGGCCCGCTCCATCCTAAGAGTTTGGGATGAGAGGACCGTTTAAGGCTCGGTCGCGGGTGACCATTACTTTTGTATTTTCCTTGGTTATGTTTTTGGGGCACTGTAGGTGAGTAGGGTCTCGCGCTAAGTGGGTGGAAACCGCCCCATTCGTTGTGGTGATGCTGATCTTAGGACTTTCACGTATGTAGCACGCTGTAGCGTGGACCCACGCATGTGTACGGCAGAAATTTCGGCTGTTGTGACCGTTTCTTTTCAAAAGCGTACGCTATTTTCTTATGTATCAAGATACGTAATGACAAGTATAGCAACAGTTATCCCCCAAAGGATTGAGCCCCTAAACACAACGTGAGAGCCACTTCTCCGGCAACTCCGTTGAGTGGGGAATTGTAATTCTACAAACAAACTGAAAGCCAGAATTTGCGTCTGAGGTGATCTAGAGACTATATCATCAGATAAAAAGCGGGCTACTACACTAACAGCAAGAATAGCAAGGATGATATTCGCACTTGTTGCGGCGTTTGATCTCGATCTTCGACAACGAGATGCTGTCACTGCTTTCTTGAATAGCAGGCTCGACAATGACGTATATACTAGAATGCTGGAAGAGTTTGGATCCTCTGGCAAGTGCTGGAAACTCCGAAAGGCGCTTTATGGGTTGAGGATATCACCTCGATTGTGACAGCAAGAAGCAGCCGGAGTTCTCACCAGATTAGGACTCCGTCAAGTGCCAGACTTTCCTTTCGCGGTCATTGTTCACTATTGCGCCGTCTTCAGAGCTCACACAAGCACAGTCTAAACGATATAGGGCCAAGGCTTACCACTTCAAAGCTTCATCTTATTCGTGATATAATAGAGAAATAGTCCTTCACTACATCTAAAATAGCCATTGAAGCTGAATGCAGCAAGCTTACAATCACAGAAACCTTCGACAATATGGAAGTATATATACAACTCAAACGCTAATAGGCCGTAAACGAACTGTGACACTGTTGATGATAGAGGCTTTTTGTGATCACCTATTGGAGAAGCCCGGTCTCTACCTTGATAAAATAGCTATCTTCCTCTGGAATAAATTCTAGACCGTAGTCACAACCTCCAGTATTAGACGAGCACTTGTCGCTAAACGTTGGCCTAAAAAGACCGCTCGACAACACGCAAGGGAGCAGAATACGTGAATATTATCTGCACGATCTATTGGACTTTCGATTATATCACCTAGTATAGATTGATGAATCTGGATATAATAAGAGGGTTGGCTTAGATAGACTGGCTAGGCACCACTTGGCAGGGCTTCCTTGCAAATAACATAGTTCCACCGCGACTAGCGATGTTAGATACTACCCGCGCGTATTCCTAAGATACAATCCTCCTCTCGCGCGCCTTCCGTGGCTCTACGGATACCACTATATTTGAGAGCTTTATAGCTTAGCTACTCTAGTATTGCGGAAGATAGCCGGAGCCTAGATCTGTCCTCGTGATAGACAATATATTATTCCACTATTCAGAGAGACTCGTATAAATGTATGCGGAGGCTGGTGATGCAGACGCTGTTGGATCAAGGTGCCGAGATCAACGCCCAGGGTGGACACTACGGCAACGCAGTCCAAGCCGCATCATATAACGGCCATAAGGAGGTTGTGCACATGCTACTAGATCGAGGTGCTGATATCAACGCTCAAGGTGGAGAGCATAATAGTTCGTTTCAAGCTGCATCATATAGGGGCCATAAAGAGGTGGTGCAGATGCTACTAGGTCGAGGTGCCAGTTGCGATGCTAGATAAGAATGGAGCACCTGGTTCTAAGAATTCAAACTCAAATATCTATTGATACTGGAGAGCCTACCATTACCACTGCTACCCTATTCCTACGGGTACAAACTTCTATGCTGGTAATAAGACGTTTTATAGATTTTCAGCCTAGGACATGCCCGCTGAAAGTCTCAACAGTATATGCTGCTATGGAAGGAAGTGTAGAGTGAAAGATTTGAGATACAATAACGCCACCAAATAAAATTACGTCTTACCACAACTGAGGTATCACTGAAGCAGTGCGTAAACACTTTATCCTGGTGCATGCCACGATGACATTCTTCTTCAATCATGCTTTGTGTATATTTGCGCTAAATCATTTCAACGTTGAGAATAGGATGCTAGGAATGTCCAGGAGCACTGGCCTCATTTGCTCCACTGCATCAATGCACCGTTCAAGATAGTTATCAAATCCTTGATTCGCATTGTTTTCGTAAGACTGCCGATGCCACCGAATGAAAGCCTTTAGCTTAGCAAAGAATTCTTCTATAGGGTTTAGGTCTGGTGAGTACGATGGTAATTAACCCAGCTTTGATGTAGGAGCTTTGGTTCTGATGAAAAGCCATAGATTAGACTGAATCCTGATGATTGCGCGTTCACTAAAGCCAGCAACTTCAGCTATCTGGGAAGTGGTTACTTCACCAGTGCTTATCATATCGCGAATGAAATCGAGCATAAGTTTGCCGGGTTGGGACCCATGGTTCGTTGCAGCATTAGTGTGAGTTGTTGGCCGTTAACGAGGATGTTTGGGTGTCATCAAAGCGTTGGGTGTGGGCAGCGAGGAAGATTTTCGAGCGTTATCTTGAAGCTCCTTTCAGAAATAAGTGTGAGAGGGTAAGCCAGTAGGTAAGAGGGTCCATTCACTAAGACACTAAACTGGAGAGAAGAAGAAGAGGAGGGGAGGCGCGGAGCTATCTGAGAGACTAAATCAACCTCCGCCAGCCAATCACAATCCTTCCACGTGATAATATCACGTGATCGGTCACATTGTCAAGTTACATCGTTATATTACCCCCTCGTAAGATATCGTCTAGTCCCTAGACGCCGTAGCAACTTTATTGTCATCCTTATAGTCTTCGAGATATTTATCTTCTAGTGCTGCCTTCGTCCACACTATCAATCTTATTTAGACCTTGACATTTCCCATGGGACTTAGTCCCATGGGAGTTCCTACAGAGGTCTAGTCCCGTGGACCCACTCCCATGGGAGTAAAAAAAAAAATTGGTCCCGCCATGGGAATTCCCGTGGGACTCCCATGGGACTAACAAAATTTCCCATCTATACATTATTTTCATAATAATAATGGATAAATTGCTGAGTTATTATAATAAAATACGGTAATTTAAAGGTGTTTTAGCGAGTATTGAGACTAACAAATATTTATTACTTTTGATATATTTTAACCATAGTTTTGTGATTATTTAGTATATCTTTAATTTAGAAAAAAGCTATTGTAAATAAAATACCGTTCGGAACCGCCAAGAAATGCATTATTTATACAAGTCACGAGATAGCTAATGTTTGCATTGTTTACAGTCCCATGGGAATTCCCATAACTCCCATGGGAGTTCCCACGGGGGTCTAGTCCCGCCATGGGAATTTCCCATAGATGTTTAGTCCCATGGACCCACTCCCATGGGACCAAAATTAGTCCCACGGGAATTCCCATGGACAGTCCCATGGGAGGCGTCCCATGGGAAATGTCAAGGTCTAATCTTATTGGTGGTCTAGGCCGGTTAGGGTAAGCGTTGTGGAATTCGATCAACTTTTGCGGCGTATTCTTGAAATTTCCTATATAATACTAAGCCCGATCTTTATCGTAGCCGATCTATTTTACCTTATATTGAAGCTTGCCGTAATAGGTCCTTAACGCGAGGATCTCTTTAACTTCCTATTCTTATAACTCCTTAATAATCTCTAGCGATAGCGGATCGAGGATCTAACTAGTTTATAGAGGTGTCTTACTAGCTAATTAGAGCTTGCTAGGATTGAAAATCGGATACACTTTGATATTATCGGGGAGCTTTAGGCGATACGTATATCCGATCTTTTCTATGATTTTATACGGGCCGCTTACTAAGTCTACTAGCTTCCTATTAGGTCGTCCTATTTGCTAATTCTTTGTTGTAACAAGGACTTAGTCGCCGACTATAAAATCCACTTCTCGCCGGTGCTTATCGGCTTGCTTCTTCTAACTATCCTAGGCCTTTAAGGCCTACTCGCGTGCTATTTTCTAAATCTCCTATAATCTACTAGCTTATTCTTAAGTATCGTAGGTTTTAGGTGTTGTGATAGAATCTAAGGGTTACTAGTCGAATAATATACAAGGTTTATACCCTCTTTTAACAAAGAATAGAGATAGCTTTGTTATACTTTGTAGTAGTATAGCGGTAGCTAAATTAGTTATAGCAAGTAATTCGGACTAGTTATCTTAGTAGTGATTCACGAATAGTCTTAACCTCTAGGCTATATACTAGTTTACAATTAGACCTTGACATTTCCCATGGGACGTCCGCCATGGGACTGTCCATGGGACTCCCATGGGAGTGGGTCTAATCCCATGGGAGTGGGTCCAGTGGCTCCACTCCCACCATGGGAATTCCCATGGTGGGACTAAACCTCCGTGGGAATTCCCATGGGACTTATGGGAATTCCCATGGGACTGTAAACAATGCAAACATTGACTGGCTCGTGACTAACATAAATTATGCATTTCTTAGCAGTATTTATCAGTATTTCAATTACTTAGCTTAGTCTTAAGAAACAGAGTATCAAGAGTTTAGAGTAATGTTCATTTTATCACTATGCTACTAATACGAAATAAAGTCATTATGCTCTCGCCTTGGTCGCTTCTGACCTTGGTATCTTGTTTCTATCCGCACCTATATATCACTTTCTACTGGCATTGGAAGTGCTTAGTCCTCTATAGTATCCTCAATACTAGAGAGAGAAATAGTACTCTTCCGTCTCTTTCTAAGGACGCGTTGACTTATGATTTGAACCGTTAATTGAGACTAGGTATCGCTTATTGGCTCTTCCTCGTCGTCACTGATCGTAGTCATGGTTTCTAATAGAAGCTCTGCCTCTATGTTCTCCTTAGT